TTGATCTTTTAACATCTTGCACATGTGCTCATGCACCGTTTGCAAGTCTGCAGATGAGCAGTTTCTTCTTCAGCCTTGGCAAACTCAAGGTCACGGACAGAGTTTGGCCTTTTACCACAATATGTAGCCATGCTCATCATGGTTATGTCTCAGCTGAAAATCTCCAGTTCAGCTTAAAGTCTCCAGTGCCAGACAATTAAAATACCTAAGGCTTTTCCCCACAAAGTATAGCTTCCATGCATGTTCAGCAAAACCGCAGCATTCATTGCCCACCGTGGCTGGATTTGGGGCCCTTTTTGGCTTGTGTCGAAGATGCTCAGGTTGGTGGATGCAGCTGTAAGCTATAGTCAATACCATGCAATTATCATTAAAGAAACATAACCATCGAGTGGTTCTACATTAATTAGAAGTACCAGTTTTTTAAGTTTAAAAACACTCATGCTAGGCTTGCCAAAAAGGAAATAGATTTTACTTCAGAATGACTTGAAATAAAAGCAGATGAATGCTTTCCCCTTGAATGTATAAGCATTAAAACAAATACATGACATCACAATCATTGCATTTCCCAGTAATTTTTTCCAGGATTGAACTTTTGTGGCTGCAAACTTAATTTTTTAAGGAATACCAGCTGCACTTCAAGATATTTTTTTTTCTTTTTGGTCTTGCGGTGGAGTTGGTGTGGGGGAGAAGAAATGTAGCTAGCCACCCTCAGGCTTGTAAGTAATATTACTGCAACAAAATATTATTGAGTAATATTATTGGAACAAAATGTCAGTTTTGCTGGTTTTCTCTTATAACTTGATCAAGAATCTGCCTGCCCCCTACCCTCCCACATGTTTTCTTGCATAATACACAAATAAAAGTGAATGTCAAAATGGGATCAAAGTGAACCAACCTCAAGCCTGAGGTTTTGTGTAATAAATGAATTAGAATTAAGCCCAAATCTAAAATTTCTGTATTGCCACAAATTCAAACAAAATCTCTGTATGGGCACATGCCCCTTTTAGAAATATGCAAAGAACCATCTGAACAAGAGTAGCATTTCTGCTTCCAAAATGGTTTAGGCATCCATAAATAGGTTAGAAAGTGAACAAGTGTGGGCCATGTGTTTATAGCAAGATAATCTAGTCTGGTTTGCAGAAGAATGAAGTATCTGCAATAGCCTCTCTTACCTGTGGGTGCCATTGTAGAACCAAACGAAAGTTGATACTGGAAGTCAATTATTTGTGTTGTATTGAGTAGGCTGGAGAGAGAGCAAGCATACTTTATCAACCCTAATAAAAGCTTAGTCCCCTTTCCTTCTCCCTGCACCTTTTTAAAAAAATGTGTATTGCAGAAGTCCCCTGTCTGAGTACACTTAACATTTCCATACTGTCGGATGTTTTAAAAAAATTGAAAGGAAAATTGAGACTCCTCCTTAGGAATTCGAAGCCACAGGGTTTTGAGTCTCTAGCAACCTAAAACAACTTGCTAAGAGACAGCTTTTCCTCCCACAATAATAGAATCCAGCCTCATCCCATGGCACTGGTTGGTGGGAGAGTTGGAACAGATAAACAGAAGTACTTCACACAGTACTTTGCTTCAAACATGAAGTCCCTATACATTGTCCACAAATCTGGATGGTTTTAAAAGGGGAACAGCCAAATCCACGGAGGAAGAGCTACCAGTGCTACAAAGTCATGATGGCTACAGACTACCTTCAGTGCGCACCAGTTACCGGAGAATGCGGATGGGAGGGTGCTTTTGTGCTGTTGTCTGGGTTTCCCTGCTTGGCCACTCCGTGAACAAAACACAGGACCAGATGGCCCTTGGGTCTCATTCAGCATGGTTCTTATGCAATTATTTCTTCTTACTTATTGGAAAAAAGTTTAGAATCAGCAGCAAAGGCAGTGTACAAAGTTTCAACACACACACAATAATATAACCCAGTCTAAAGAGCTGGTATAGGGTGTTGCCACAAGTTGCAATCTCAGCTCCGCCATGAAGCTTCTAAATGGCACTGGACCACTCACTTAATCCGCCTCATACAATTGTGATGTTTGTGTGTTTGAGTACTGGCACAAAATGGATGGAATACAAAAGTGAAGGCATAAAATCATCCACAGTTCTTGAGAGTCACATCTGTATCTCAGCACAAAATCAGCAGGATGGTCACATGAAAACTGGTGTATCTGGATAAGTACAGATCTGAGAACCCTGAGCCCAGTTTTTTAAAAATCTTTTCCATCCCCATGGCATATAATGGGGAAAGGAATATTTTCAGAATCCTTTTAAGTTTCCATTTAAAAATTAACAAGGGGCAAAGAATAAAGCATGTTTTTATCAAATGTTTTGACCAATATTAGCCAGTGTTGGCACGGAAATTGGCTCTGATACATAGACAGGGAAAGTCAACATTTGTTCAAGAAGAAAGTATAGGCAAGCATCATTAGATCAGACATGCAATCTAATAGGACAGCAGAATCTGGAAAGCATGAAATTTGCTAAAAATGGCTACACAATCACTGCAGACATTCAGATTATAGGAAGGGGCTGTAATTCAGAGAACAAAGCTTGGTTTCTCCAGTTAAAAATAATTTAACAGGTTAGCAAGGCTAGAAAAAATCCACCAGCAAAGCTGGAAAATGCAACCTAATTTAATGATCTAATTCAGTGTAAAGAGAATTGTTTATGTTCTTGCTTCTGTCACAAGGCACCATTTGCAGTCCATTTTAAGCATCAATCCCATTGATGCAATCCTATCCACTGCCTTTTAAAGAGTCTATGTTAGTGCTGAATGTTCAGCGACTTTTAAAACAGCAGATAAACCAAAGTTTCATAATTTCGTCTTTGCCTTTTTTTTTTTCCTGGAAAGAAGTGGTGAGAAAATATGGGCCAACAATATGAGCCAAAGACTATTTTGCCTTCAAAATTCATTGAATGGGGCAGTGTGACTTCACAGTAAAAGCCTAATCTGGAAGCACCTGCAATAATTTAATCCAGCACTGCTTTGATGGGTGTGAGCGCATGCAATATTTTAATAGCAAATTGTTAGGATCTAGCATGTCCAGTAAGGGGCTTCTTAGTCTCCTGCTTTTGGAGGTACTGCTGCCCTCAGTCTTCCTGAAAGGCCTGTATGTTAAGTATGAGCAGCTGGTCCTAGGAGAAGATTACCAGTGCGCATTGGCACTTTAGATCCGCGGCACCAGCCAAATCTCAATGTCTGTGTGACAACAAGTGAATGCACTACTAGAAATAAAATTTTAAAAAGCAAATAGTTCAAACTAAGCTCCAAAGTATACTTCCATAAATGCCCAAATAAGGATTCAATAGAATTGTTTAATAGGACTTTTGTACAGCATTTTAAAACTTTGCTCAATATACAGTACAGGGCTTATGATTTAAAAAGAAAACATTCATCTCTGTGTTTTCCTTAAGCTTTGATTATTTGCAGACATCTTACAAATTTCAATTCTAAAATTCAGAAGCATATTATATATGCAGATAGATACATAAACATACGTACATGATTGTGAGTGCAATTACATTTTCGCATTTCAAGCCCAGTATTATTTAAAAAATGTGAACGCCAACACTGTATTTTTGTTTTCATAGGTTTATGTTTCAATTCCAAGCAATTGAAATAGCTTTTGTCAGGCCAAGGATCCTTTTAAATCTTTCAATAAACAATGAACCAGTTCTGCTGGAGCTGTTGTGTTACACTATTAAATTGATGACCTGGTTTGCATGATGTGGCATGCTTATCTGGGGATGGGGTTAACCCATGATGAGTCACAGTGAATGCCAGGCAACCTTCTGAGTATGCAACCCTCGCTTGGAGGTTACTGTGAATTCAGCCACCAAGGCATATTTGAAGGTTAAACAATCCTTGCATAACCCTTGATTTGTTCTTTAAGAAATCCCCAATGAATCCAGCTCATCTGCCAAACCAGGCCAGTAACTCCTTTGGCAAGTTATAACTGCACCAAAACACATTGCTAGAACGAACTTAAACTTTGTTTCCCTTTCAGACAACTGTTGCATATAAATTACAGGATACAGAAAATCTTGTTGTCAAATTCAAGCCAAAAGCACATTACATATTTATAAGCTGCCTCACTTTTCTCTTTTGTACATGACCGTTCCCTGAGATGACGTGGAGCCATTGCATTCTAAGTCAGTGAGCCCAGTTTATACCGCCTATTAGCTGGGATCCAAAGGGCTATGTGCAGGCTTACTAACCCCTTCCAGAAGAGGCACTCTGTCCATGCTGAAGCGGCACGCTTGGAGATTGGGGGCTTCTCCAGGGCGGCATTCTGCTAGACATAAGGCACTGCTGGCTGAAAAGAAACCAGATGCACCTGCATACACGGTGGTGCACAGAAAGAGTTTGCACGGAGGGAGCTAGGAGTCTCTCTGGAGGCTGGCCACCATGCAAGCCCAGCCTCGTACTCAAATCTTGTTCGACCTCTTCTACTACGTGCGGCACACTTTCCGAGAATGGATACGAGACAAGAGTATAGGTACATGGCTTTTGCATTCGCACCAAATGCCGTACCGCTACTCAATCGTGCTCCCATCTCCCCAGGAAAAGAAAGGAAGGTCCCTTTAAATATACTTGGTCTAGTTACAATGCTCATTAAACATTTGCAGACCTGAGAATTAAGAAATGTGACCAGCAAAGCTAAAATAGTTCCTCCAATCTGGGCTCTTGGCTTTCAAATCGTCTTACTGATTTCATCCAGAACAAATTAAATGTTAAACATTGAATTTTCCGGCTTACCACACCTCTGAAAACATGCGTCTTGGATTAGATTGTATTCCATGGTGATGACACACACTGAGTTGAGGAGGATCATTTCAGAGTGGAGAGAAAAGGCTGGGGCACTCCACCCAGCAGGCCGCTGTTGCTGCTTTTCAGGGGTGCCCAGGCAGCCTCTCAGAAGAGAGTTGGCTTGGCTAGTGCCAGCACATTGGCTGGTTCCTTGACCAAGGAGTCCATGCCCCGGTCATCCCTGAAATGGTGGAGCCAGTCCGTGGTTATTCTGGGACCTCAGAGGGGCTCCGGGCAGGTGGGAGGCGAGGGTTGCAAAAGTCCCTCTGTGCCATCATGTGGCCAGACTGCAGTTGAGCCAATAAGACCCCATCTCGCCAAGACTGGACAACCCAGCAGTCCCAAAGCCATGAATAGCCCTTGTAGACACCAGATGTTTGAGCATGAGTCAGGGTGGTCGTGGATGAGCTTCTGGATAGCAGCTTTGGCTGCAGGGAAAGGGGATGGGAGTGGGCTTGAGTTGCTTCCTTGGCGAGCTCATCAGCCGCCTCATTGCCAGAAATGCCACAGTGGCTGGGCATGCACAGTGGAAGGTGTGTGTCGGTCGGCAATTGAGCCACTCCTGGATTTTAGCTGCGTCTGTTGAGCTCCTGGTAATGCTTGACAGAAGGGCTTGGCTGTCTGAAGACATCACGGTTGCCATGGTTGTTGGTGGCTCCTCCAGCCAGCACAGGGCCAGCCTCATGGCTGTCTTCTCTTCCTCACAGGAAGCAGTGATGGTCGCACCCTGGGTGTGCTGGCAGTGGGTATAAGCCAAGCATCCTTTACTTAGAAGTTCTCACCTTGTCACTTCAGGGGAGAACTCGGTGAACTGGGCCTTCACAAGAACAAACCTAAGCATGGAGTGCTTGGTTCACACAGTGCCTTAGATGCACAGAAGGGAGAGTCCCAAACAGTCACTCCACACCCCACAGAAGAACAAACTCTGAAGGGGAGTATATGAATGGGTCCCAAGTCTTCTCATTTCAATATTTCCCAAGATAACTGTTCTTATGGCACCAACACAAAAGTCAACGTAACCCATACTAAGTGTTTGCTATTGCCTGTGCCCTGAACTGTTCACAAAGTAAGCATTAATTCATACCCAATGTATTCCACAAGGTGAAGATTCCCCTAAGTTTTCAGGTAGAGACAAAAGCTGATATTCCCATTGTAGAACCCCTTTCTGCTTCTCAGAGTGTGAAGTTTTACCTCTTTCAGATTGTGTTCCTTCAGAGTGAGTATTTTGCATACAACCGTCCTGAAATTTCAATGCATTGTCTCCCTGGTCAATTTCAAAACTGATGACAAGTGACTTTGCTACAGCATCTAATTCACTCTGGTTCCCAAGCAGCTCTGGATTTTTGTGGGCAGGATTGTCTGCTGGGTCCATGGATGAAGCTGACGGATAGCAGAGAGCATTAATATTCCCAGCTAAGATGCAAATCTTTTCTATGAAATACCTGAGTGGACTTCTGTGTCTGTAGGCACCTGAAGAAGGAAAAAAAAAGACAAGGAGAATCACATCCCATAAGTTCAAAAATGAATAAGCAACAGCTGAATAAACTGTGAATTAAAGGTGAGTATAGGTTGTGGATGTCTCCCAGCTTGTGGCAAAGGTTCCATCTTGTCTGGCTCAGCAAGGAAGATGGACAAAGGACGGCTCACAACACCTGCACCACTTAATGAGCAGGTGTTTTGCTATCAGAAAGCCTAACAAGGCCCACATTCCGGGGCTAGCTTGCCTGTCCAAATCTAGCAGCCCTCCCTATTTATCAGTAAGTTGCTTAGCCACAGCTGGACTTGTTGGGGGAAACTTTCAGGTTGTTTAGATCGCAGGGCTTTGTGGCATCAGCACAAAGAGTGTCACTAGGTGCTTAGTCCTACCGTTCCTTCGATCAGAAATGGATCTCTTGCTGACCACCCATTCTGGCTGATTGAAGTCTGCCTTGCAATCCAGTTCACACTGTGAACTGTAACTCCTGCTAAACATTTTATAAGCTAGCTATCTTGTATTCTATCTGCAATAAAAAGCTTTCATCCTTGTAAGTAAACCTAGATCTGGCGTATTGCTTTCCTTGGGATTCCAAAACACCTTGAGCCTATTGGATGGCATGTCTCTGGGTGTTTCACATGGACCTGTGGCCTGATTCAAGTCCACCAAGAGAACAGCAGTGGCACCATTTCTCTGGAACTTCCTGCAACTGGATATTCAGCCAGGTGCCAAAACTTTGGTGCATCTGGAGTTCTGCATTAAAATGAGCAGTGAACAGTGAGAAGTTGAGAAACTGCAGGACAGGGAGGAACAGAAATGTAAGGGTTTCATGTACTTAAGTATCGCAGAGAACCAAAAATGTTTGGGAGCTTCTCAGAGTGAATTACATTTTCTTTAGCTGAGATTAAAAATAGATCCTTGAGATAACCTAACTAAAGATTATTTAGTTAAGTAACGATTGTTCTCTGGGTAGATTGCAAACATGAACTAAAATGCAATGGAAACAATTAAAATATTAAAAACAATGCAAATATTTCAAAGAATAAAATGCAAAATGAAAACAACAGAAGTAGAGAAAGTCAAGTAACCATTTAAAATCTTAGAATGCTCAGCAAAGATTTAAAAGGCACCACAGAGAAGGTAGGCAACCTGGTGTCCTCCACAGGTATTTTGGGGGTCCAATTACATAATCTTTGTTCATTAGGCATCCTTGCTGGGGCTCAAAGAAACTGAACTCTACCCTGTCTGCAAGGTACCAAGTTACCAATCCCTGTGAATAAAGTTAATACCAGCAAATGTAATGCTTCTTTATATAGTCTGAGGGACATATTTTAACATGCACTGGTCCTAGAATTCAGAAGGGCAACATGCACAACACACTAGCCAACTTATCACGCATGTGGAGTCCTTTGTTGAACTTTGTTGAGCTTTCTTCGGTCTGCATCCCAATAGCAGCAACTATCAGCATTTAAACATAGGGGCAAGGAGGTAATTCCTTAGGTGGAGCATATGCAACAATCAGAGCCCATAGGCCTGGTGGAATAAATCACAAGTGTCTACATGTTTTAGCACAGTGTGAGCAAGAAACGTGCTAAAAACAAATTAGCCACCTGTAATTTATTCCACCATGTTCGTGGAGTTTGAAAGCAGGTGAAAAAATGCATCTGTTCTGGATGATGTAAAATCCTCATAAAACCCTCTTTCTGTTTGTTTCAGTGCTGAGGACATTCCTGGCTAAATTTTGTGGTTGTGGGCTTCTGCTTTACATCAGGAAGTAGGTACAGCATGTGCCCCCTCCCCACTGTCAACTGTATGCCTCCTTCTTCAGGGTTAATGATGTTGGTACGAGGGGTAGCACATGGTCAAAGCAGTCTAAGCAAGCGGCATTTTTGCAAAGTAACCACTGAGAAGTGGGGTTGGTTTGAGAAAAGTAGTAATAAGGCCACCATCAAGTTAATATGTAAATTTAGCCTCAGTCACTGATCAAGAAAGGGAATAATTTTGCATGAAAATATTATAATGAATGTTTCCATTGCAACAAAATAGAAGACCTCAGCACCAACTCTTGCATCCCCTTAATTCTATTTTTAAAGTGGATTTGCAGTACAGCAATATACAATGACTTCAGAAAATACCTTGTAATGAAGATGTGACAATCTGGTGGACTTGTTCCAAGCAATGATGGAAATCCAAGAATTCAGCAGCAGTACATGTTGCCTTCTTTAACTCCTGGTCAATAGATTCTCCTCTCCTTAAGAGATTGGCGACTTTCTTCTGTGTTAATTAATAATAGGTTTTTAGGACATGGAAGGACAGGACAGAGAGTACTTCTGTGAGGCCGGCTGCTGCTCCCGATTCCAATACTGTTTCTCAATCAGCTTTTGAAAGACAAGGGCTCTCAAGATCCATGCAAATCTATAAGGACTACAAAGGTGCTGTATGCCTAAAATAATCATCTCTTCACACATGTATCTGCCAGGACAAAATGAGAAAAAGCTCTGCCATAATATAGCTGCTAAAAGCCTGACAGCTTTAACTTAAGCCAAGTCCTGATCCCCAGGTACACCTCCAAAATGCTAATGCTTGCTTGCCCTGCTCAGGTAGACTCCTAGATATGCTAATTGTTTGCCTGTCCTGAAGGTTCTTCTGTTTCCCGTGTCTCATCTGATAGGGGTGGAAGGATGATTTGAAACAAGGAGGTAGGAAGAGTGAAAAAAAAAAGGTAACAAAGAAAATTCCTTTGCCTTAAGGGGGGGGGGGGGGGGCTGAGGTCAGATAGCACAAAGTGTGAGGAAATTGGCATGTATACAAAATAACAGGAAACTTGCTCAATCCTGCATAGGAAATAAGCTCATAATTCACCTGGAAGGGACCAAGTGGGAAGTGTGTAACCTCCCAGTACCCTGGCCAATGGGGGGAAAAGAGGAGGGAGAAGTGGGGGCGGGGGCAGGGCATAAAATGGGATGTGAACTGAGTTGAGCTGGAAGATGGGAAGGAAATCATCCTGGCTACCTTTATTACAATAAAGCTTCAAAAAGAACTCTGTATGCTTGGAATATTTTTCTCTTCCAAAGGAAAGGAAAGGTTTCTAACATTATCCACATCCAGCCCTACTGTTTTACTCTCATGTGCCTATAGCACACTGCCTAAGTGATTCCCTCCCCACTCCAAAATGTGTCTGTAACTGATAGGTTATAAACATATTTTGTACAGACTCATTCCAAGGATACCTACCTACATGCTGCATGTATTCCTTATATCTCAGAATAAACTAAATGTTCTTTGGATAGTACACCTTCAGTGGATCCTGTTTCTTTTCCCTCAATCTGGTTTTTTTCTTATCAATTGGCAACCCATGTGTGGTCACCAGTTCTCCTGGACCCTGCCTGTAAAATAGGAATCTGCCTCCTCCTCAAAAAGACATTTTCCTCCAAAAAAGGCTCCCTTTTTCAGTTTGTGGATATAGCTGGTAATTGGTGGGTTCCTTCAAAGAACGGAGTGTGGGGAGCCATTAACTTCGGCCAAGCCTGCCACTAGATAGTCCTACGAGCAGGGAAGGGCAGTCCTGAAAACAAGCAGAGGCAAGCTCTGTACATGGGCCTTGCGCCTTCCCGGCCATGAAAGGGACTGCTGTTGCAATCTTCCATTGTTTCCTTTGCATGTTAGTTTCTATGTTGGCTAGGAAGCCATTTGCAGAGTAAGCAGGACTGCAGTAAGAATGTTTGCTGCCTGGACAACATCAGGTTTGGGCTGGGACTTGTTCCTGGTGGCAGCGTGTGCTGAAGCCTCAACGGGGGATCCCAAGCATTTGGAAGGGCAGGCGCCTCCATTTGAACTGTGTTGCTCCCCAAGATTGCTGGGCATGGATCCAGGGGAAAGCGCTGGTGGCACCCTGCTGCCAAGTCCTACAACGGTCTGGCGGATTGGGCCAGAGTGCAAAAAAGGGAGGCAGTTCCCTGAAGTGCATGTCTGGGAGAATCTAGACTGTGATCAAGTTAATAAAGGGTTCAGCTTGCTTGCTAGAGCAGCTGGTGATGTGAGAGAAATGTAACTGCAGGTTTTCCCCGGAGGTAGAAAGTGGCCAACCCAGATCTAGAGAAAACTGCCAGTTGTTAGCTCTATGGCCAGACCATGAAGCTGAGAACAATAAAGGTTGCTCTAGAAGAAAATTATCACCACTTTGTGAGTGCTGCAGAAATAGTGCAACGTGCACACAGCTTCTGAGTATATTAAAAGTGCAAGTGCCTTTCAAGAGTTGGATTGCCTCTGCATTCAGCCTCAGGACAAGAGCGTTCACTGCAGACAGCGTGAATCCATCCCCTGGGGCAGAGGCAAACCTAGACTAACACTCAAAATAATTCCCATGATCCTAACACAAAACATTCATGCAAAAGTCACGGAGAAGGCTTTAGGGCCATCACCCATGAATAAAAGCAAGTTTGTTCTTGAAGAAAGAGGGATGATTTACAGTGTTTGAAGCTTGTATTGCCTCCTGGAGAACATGCCCATAAAGAAATCAGTGTTTTGAAACAGGCGACCTTTTAAGAGCTCTTAACAAGGGGTTATGGGAATGTTTTAAGGCAGGGAAGCCTTCTAAAGCATAGCAAAGAGCAGCAACGGTGTGTAACATGCAAGTTTGTATCATCTACCAAGAAATAAAGGAAGGAAAAGCTACAGGAAGACAAACTTTCCTCTCCATCCAGAGGATGTATGACTTCCCCCCCTTTCTTTCTCACTTGGTTTCTGAGCAAGGTTTAAACTCTTTGTTTTGAATCCTGCACCTACAAACTTGTCAATGCAAAGCCAAGACTGTTAGATAGAACTAGATGAAAGCCTTAAGCGTGAAAGATTTCTCACCCTCTGTGTTCAAGTTTTGAATGGTCCTTATGTAGACACATTATTGGTTATCTTACAGTTACCTACAGTATGCATGTAGCCGTGGTTAAGTGGGGAGTTAAATTGGTTTAAAATGCGAAGAAAGAGAACCAGATGACCAAGCTGCCTGATCTGCAACAATTCTTATTTCTGAGACTACTAGTTTACCTTTTCTTAACAAGAAGTTAGTATCCATTAGCAATATTGCCCAATATTGCTGATATACCCTAATCTGCTCCCAAATTCAGGAACAGAATCCTGCAAACTGACAGGTGTGTCTTGCACCAGAATCAGAATTGGCAAAGTTAAGGCGTCCTAGTTTTGACAAGGTCCTTTTCCCCACACCTAATCCATGCATATTGTGGGACAGGGCAAGTGGAGAAAGCAGTAAAGCTTGATTGGTGGCTCCAAATGTTCTTACAGTAGCTTAGCTCATATTGTTATGTGCGCCTATTTGTCAGGCCTAGAATGTAGGCAAATACGTAAGACAAAAAGGGCAAAACACCTTCTCCGTTAAGTTCTTTCATGAATATTGAATTTCATCCAAATGTTCAAGTGTTGGTTCATTGAAATATATTTAAAGTCTGCATATATTCGAGATGAATTGGGGCATTTTTGTACTTATGCGTGTGGGCATGTACCATCACTTTAACAAGAAATTGTTGTGAAACTTGATTCTCAGGTTGAGAATACCATTGTCCATAAACTCAACCAGAAAGGCACATTTTAATTTAGACATAGTAAGCAGCAGGTTACTGCTTGATTTGGAGAGCACCCCCAAATTCAGCAAAAGATTCCATTGTTTTTATCACCTTGCATTGGCTGGAATGGTACAGCAAAAGAGAACCTTTAAGACCAGGCTAGAGAGATTTGTGCTAAGATTGAGTTACAATGGCCAGAGGCTTTCCAGATCTTCAACTTCTTTCACCAATTTCTTCCCCAATTAATGTGTTTCTTCAGAGCTCTCTCGTGGCAGATGAAGTGATATTCTATCACTGCAAGCTTTAATAAAGTATGTGAAGGTCTTTCATGTACAGGTTTCAGGCTGTGCTCCCTTAGAAAGCAGAAGAACTGTGCCCTCTCTTTCAGCTGAAAGACTGAGGGGTGTACAAAAATGTGTCAGAAGAAAGATTCACTTCAGCCCCACAGCCTGCGTACCAAGTTTTCATGCTGCGATCAAATGGCAAGGACTGCTGAGGTGGTGGTAGGACAAGAAGCAGCTGAGTTGCATTGAAAGAAACCTCTGAACTTGCAGAAAATAGGCTCAAGGTACAGGTTATATGTGCTGGCAACCTCTCCCCTGAAGAAAAGCTGATTTCTGCTGGAGTAAAGCTTGGGTCCAAGCTCTGTTCTTGCTTCAACAATAAGCATAACTCAAAAACCAGGCACAGTGTTGCCCAGCAAGAGACAAGGAGGCCCTACAACCTCAAGTCCAAAGCAGACTGAGTGAAGTAGAGACAAGGTAATCTTGAAGAAATGCCCAGAAGGCAAACCAGCTAATCTTGGAACTAGACCACTGCCTCGCCCATTCTGTACCCTGCCTTACCATACACACTTACCCAAGTCTGCTGACCAGACGAGATAATTATCTCAGAGTATTCATCATTGCAAGGGGCTCAGCCCAGACAAGGATGAAATTTTCAGAGGCAGATCTGGTCAAAGGCAGTCTAGGAAGTAAGAAACCAGGCCTAAGAAAGGCTAGGAACATAGACTAAAATGGCAAAAAGAGTGCAATATGGAAGTGAAATAGTTAACCCATTCGGTAAATCTGGTGAATCAGCTTGAGCCAGACTGGACTACTTCTGCCAGTCTGGTTCATCTGCATAGCCATGCATTTGTTGTTTCTTTTAGACCTGCATTACCTGGTTCTGTTTCTCTAGATGTGCATCTCAGAATCAAAGCAGGTATTTTGAAAATTGTATTACGACAGAGTATTGAGAAAGAAGAGGGGACTGTCAGGACAAAAGGAGGGAAAGCTTTGCCATAATATGGCTGCTAAAAGCCTGACTCTGTAAGAACAGCTTTGGACTTAAGGTGGGATTCCTGAATGAAGCAGGAATCCATGTTGCAATCATGTTCCCCACGTACATCTTAGATATGCTAATAGTTTGCCTGTCCTGAAGGTTCTTCTTTTTGTTCTGTTTGCCTTAACCATATTCAGCCCTACTGTCCCTATAGCAAACTGCTTACATTATCCCCCACTTTTATCCAAACTGTGTATATAAATGATGTAAAAGCGTCTAATGCAGACACCATCTTTGGAGTCCCGCCGGGAGTTACCTACATGGTGCGCGGATGTCCCGAATGTTGAAATAAACTGTAAATGTTCTTTTGATTGCACACCCCCAGTGCAGCCTTTATGTTTTATTCTCATCAATCTGTTTTCTTCTTGTTACAACTAACATTGGAAAGGGTCAGCAAATAAAGGAAAACATATACAAGATTTTGCATATCCCTTGGAGAGAACATTCTGTAGCAAATCTTAAGAATATCCAGGAATTCTTAAATTCCCAAGTATACTTAACAATAGGTCATTACAAATGTAAATGTAAATGTAAATAGTTGTAAGCCGCCCCGAGGCTTCGGTGAATGGGGCGGCATAAAAATGTTTTAATAAATAAATAATAATAAATAAATGAACACTACTCCTGCTAAGGACTAAAATACAATCAAACCACAACTTGTAATTACCTTTTTACAAGTAGATACAATGTTTTCAATGACTTTAGCCAAAGCTGTTGCTTTATTCTTTATCTGATTCTGAACCTGAAAAAGGGAGGCATTTTAAAATACATTGTATTAATTTCCAACCATAAACACATGACACTTAAAATGTCAAACCACAAATACATGAAAAACAAGACAAGTTGTATATACATTTTGCACTAGGTAGTAAAATATATGCATGGCAATGTGGTAGACACTATCCATACCCCTCTACCACACAGAGTTTCTCATCTGGGAAAGCAGAGACCCAGATTGTACATAACGGTGGAAGAAGATTACCAGATTAATTAACCCACATCTTGCCACAATACATGCTGGGCACATTCTGGACAACACAATGTCCAAGACCCAAGATTCCTTATTAGATTTAGGAATGATTTAATGAATATGTTTTCTACTGTTAAAAATTAGCCTTTGTTTTTTCCCCTTATTGCAAAATCAAAGCAGTGAAAGCCAATTAGAAATAAAATAAAATGAAATACTTCTATAGAAATAGTTCAAGTTTATTTGTTTTAAAATCTGCACTGCCACTATAACAGGTATGTTTAGTTGAATTATTCTTTTTCACTCTTAAATGAACAGTTTCTGCAGTAGGAAGTTTCACCACCCCATATGCAAATAGTGCTAATTGTTTACATTGCACCAGCAGTTGTCATAATAAACCATGAAGTGCAAACTGTACGTTATAGAGTATGGGAGAACAAACATGTTCTCGATTTAACAAATAAAATCAATGCAAATCTTTCCAAAATATGATTAAATTCATGACATTATTACAAATGGCTTTCCTCTCCATGCCAAAAAGAGATTGTCATTATCGCCACATCACCTCATTTTGTGGGTACCACTTTGAGATTTCATCTTGCATCACCCTAGATGTTATCTGTACAGAGTCTAAAAGGTGCTCCAGTCCCGACTCTATTCCCTCACAGATATCTTGCAGAAACTGTTTCTGATAGAGAAAGACAGAATTTCTTTTAAATACAAAGATCCTTTATGGTTTGCCAATACTAATGCATGTTGACAATGGGGTTTCAAATCTACTTTCACTGAATATTATGTAGTAAGAGATTTATTTACCATCTTTCATCCTGCTTGTATTTCAGGACAATATGCAACAAATTAATATCATATTGCAAACAACAACATTCTTAAAAGCAGACTAGGATGTACAACAATTAAATGCCTCAGTAAATAAAATGGTTTTGACTAACTATTGTTTTAAATTTGATGGCCATTGTTTGATTTTTTTCCATTATCTAAATTTTAGCATAGGTTTTCCTGAGATATCAAAGGAGGTGTTTGTTAACTTAAGTTCCTTCCCTTGCTGCAAAGATTCTTTTTCCTCTGTTGCAGCAACATGTAACCTCCTTACTATGATTGTTATCCTGCCCTCCCCACAAGCAACTTCAGAAAATATGTCACAGTTCCACTTACTAAAATAAATTCTGGCTAATTAATTTACCCAGTAAACAGTGCTGCTATATACTTTTCCTTACTGAGATCTGTCAACAGATACTTGCAGTAATTTCCTTATTCACTTTCTATGCCTATTGTATTAGAAACTTTAAGGGGCAGTATCTTTTCCAAGAACATATGGCAGGTGTTAAAAGGTTAAGAGATGATTGTGAAGTCATAGAGATGTTACTTTTGAATTTCCAGTTTTCAGATCTAGAGCAAGTGACAAGGCAATTCAAAAACCACCAAGGGTGTGATCCTATGGCTTCCCAATGTCATCTGGAGGCATAGGAGAAGTTGGTGTCTCAGCTCCAAACTTGGAAATAGGCAGGATCCTGATCTTGGAGACACCTGCTGCCCAGGTGCTCTTGCATACCCATAACTTCAGAGCCAGAGTCTCAGGGGCAGACCAGTGAAAAGCAAGATACATACTCTCCTTCAAAGTATTTGTCCCTCCTTCAAAGGATCTCAGCCTCTTCCCTTCATGATGAGGGCATACATTTAGATGGCCCAAATCATCTGCCTTGGGGACTGAGGGGAGTTCAGTCCTAGGCTTCCACTAGATGCCTGCCATCCTCTGAGTTCAAGGGGCTGCAGGCATCTACACTCAATGGCGCTCTCACAGAAGTATCATTGCATTACACCTTAGTATCCTCAGACCGCAAACCTGTACTCACCAACTTGAGAGCAATCCCCATTGAACCAAACAGCTGTTATTTCTGAGCTGACATAAGGGATTGTCCTGTATGTAGCCATTCTTAGAACCCCAAATCACCACAAATATTCTCTTTCGCACATACAAGCATGATTTTTTACCTTTGCATCACCTTTACTTTCTGCTGTAAAATGTAGTTCTAAGCCAGTAAGTGCTGCCAAATGCCCTATATGGTTCACCATTTGTTTCAACATCTGCATTATTTTCCTTTGTGCCTCTGCTACTACAGATGACAGATCTGAACAACCACCCTGAGACGCAAAAAAATCCAGTTAGGAAATATTTGTTGCATGCATATCAGTCAGTGATTCCAATTGGGAGCATAATATAAACTAGATTGCTTACTTTGCAAAGCCATGATGCGTGTGTACGTACAATTCAGCTTAACTTCATCCTACATTGTAAGATTACTTTAGTACCCTATGCACACATTCAGTACTGTAATTTACACTTGGTGTTGGAATGAGTTGGTGGCACAAGCAAGCAGTGTGTGTCTGGATTTTCTGAGCTCTGGGTGTTCCATCAGCTTCTTAGAAGGTATCAAAACAAAATAAAAACACTATCAATTTGGAGTTCTCTTTTATGAAGAATTGCTTTTGGAGGATGGTATGTTTGGGATTAATTGTGGGAAGTGAGAATGCAAGGAGTGAAAAGACACACAGGTTTGTATGATCAGACATCCTTGGCTCTTTAGCTCTCTCTAAACTATTCAACAACAGGAAATTAGACAGGCTCTGCCTTTGGTTGTGTTACAGGAGGTATAAGGCTGCATTGAAGCTTGCAATCCAAATGAACCAGCTTCTCAACAATGAAATCCAAATGCTCAAAGACAGTTCAGACTGTCTGGCTAGTCAACACACAACACGCCTCCAACAGCTCCACAATTCTGTCCAGCAGCCTCTGTTTATTTTTATTTCAATTTAGCAGTTTAAGGAGTTTAGCAGTTGAAGGAGTATTAAAGGGAAAAACAAAACTAATAAAATTATCTCCAGATAATGTTTACTCAGCTACTTTTGTGGACAAAGGAGTGAGACAGTTCTGTAGGGGGATTCTGGCTTCTTTGGAAAGCAAAATATAATTGTGCATGCTACTCTGAATGTTACTGGCTCTGAATCTGAAATAACTTGTGCTTGCTGATAGCTGAAAACCATTCTTATGCTGACTGCAACACTGAGAGAAAATTCAAGCCAGAGCAAAGGATTTCAGAATTTTGTATTTTTATAGCCTAAAGTACTTTCTCCTGGGGTGATAAAATCACTCCAGAAGCAACATCTGTTGGATTATTTTGAACAGGTTGAGGGTTAAACCAATACTTCCAATTCTTTCATGCTCAAATGAAATCTGCAATGAAGCCCCTTACCTGCAAGAGCAACTGGAGATATCCTCCCAAATGTTTTATATCATCCCTTAGTTCATCATAAATTTTTACAAACTCATCATTTTTTCGGAAACAATTCAGCCAGTGCTTTGTTAATACCACCAACTGTTCAAAAGAGGTGGTAATCCTGATGCTGGAGGACTGAGCAACTTGATCAACGATGAAAACTAAACACATTGAAAAATTAGTTAGTGAATTAATTATTTAGAAGATAATTGATTTTGGTAAAATGCTTGGCAAGGACTGGAGAAAATATGCTTGCAATGATTTCTAAATTAGTGGACAGAGACTCAGAATGAGAAGTAGGCAATAAAACAGGTCTTACAGTTTTCATGACTTTCTTCAGCTTGCTCATAAGCCTTTGTCAAAGCAGTGACTCCAGTATATATAGTACATAAAGCTGTTAAAAGACTTCGTGCCATGCTCTCCTCTTCTTCGTGGGTCTGTCCCAACACATCCAGAGCTGAACCTATCAGTTCCTTACATATACCAGGAAGAAATGATTCAGGTGGATCCAATTTCAGGCTGCCCAAAGTATTTGCTGAGCCTGTGATAACAGAACAGCTTCATGAACTCATAAACTTAAATAAATGACCGAGTCAATAGTCCGGTGAATTTCTTCTCTAATATTTTTAAATTTGCTGCACCATTATGATGAATAAACAGATACCCATTTTAATCAGGTTTACCCTCTGGAAAAAACACATAGATACAACTTGAAAAGAGCAGAATATGAGAAAGAATGTCATTCTTTCCATATATACAATGTAAATATACACACATTTTAAAAATTTCAGGGCAGTATCCAGCCAAGTGCTTATGCCCTGCTGAGTATCTGGGGCCTTAACAGATTTACTTTCCATCATTTATGCAAGGAAGATTTAGCACTTCTGAGGGCAACCCAGAATGAGTGGAAACACTAATCATTAGAAGGTTGTATAAGGGGCACCCCACTGATCTGCTCCCTTGCAGTGTTTCTGTGTTTTCTTAGCGTTTCTTCTTTTATTGTTAGCTTCTGCCAGAAACTAACTCTCCCTTGCATGAGCAGTGGGTCCTACTTACAGAAGGGAAGTTGGCACCCACCACTTGGTAGAAAGGAATCAGAAGACAGAGTCAAAGGGAATGGAAGTTTCATGTTGGATTGTGCCCTCAGCTATCCTTTAAGTGAAATGAAAAGCTGTGAAAACAGAACACATTAAAGATAGCTTCTCAAAGTCACAGTTGTGTAAATGCACATACACACCAGGTAAGTACGAATTGTTCAGTCTCATCTTAACCTCAGACAAACATCCAGAAATTCGCTTGCTCTTCCTCAGACTTCTGCTTCTCCTATTTTGAGCAAGAATAGGGAAGCAAGAAGAAAACAGTTCAAAGTTTCATGACATCTAATAACTTTCTGTAACTCACCCCAAATTTTCTTTACATCCTGCCATGGGCACTTTAAGACTACATTGACCTCACTGAAGGAGCACAATAGCCATTCTAAGATGCTTAGAAGACTCAGTATAGGCTTCTAATAGCTAGGAAGCATTCCTTGCTACATATATTAAACATTATTCATCCTCTCTCTCTCTCATTAACAACTTTGGCTACCCTGTAGAAAGGGTATAAAAAGAACTGACTTGGTGGGACATTCATCACATGCATTCCATGTTTTGTTCTGTTCAGAGAAGTTTCCCTTCACCATGACATATCTAAAACCTTTACTTCCAGTTTGCAGGCAGTACCTCACTGAGCTGCCTAATAAAATATCCTATATATATTTCTCCCAATTTTTTGTTTACAAAGCAGAATTTTGCTTTAAACTCAAAACAAGAAATTATTTACCTCCTTGTAGAAAGCGAAGAAACTGATGTATTTGAAACATCAGGTTCCCATTCATCAGTTGGATCATAGAAAATCTCATCAGCTTTGTTAATACTGTTTGCCTGGAAAGAAAATAAATCCATTTTTCTTAAAGTGCTATAGTTTCCATAGTTGCAAAGAAAAATGCAGTGCTCAACAACCTACTTATTTATTTTTAATTTTATTTACAATATTTTTATCTTGCTCTTCAGCCAAAGAGAGGCTCCCAAAGCAACAAAGATGAATAATGAGATGATCTCTCTCTTCAGGCTTACAATCTGAAAGATTTATGAGAGCTGCCTCTTCATAATTTTCACACTTTAAACCAGAAAGAATCTACTACATTCTAAAAACATTATTCAAACCTCTTCACTCTACCCAGCAAGGTTAAAGCTTCAGTGAAAAGTTTGCTGTCTTATCCTACAGCTAAACTGGTCCAGGCATCCCACAATATACTTCTCAGTATAGTCTTCCAAGAAGCAGCAGTTAGCACTTATAACTGAAGGTGAAGGCTTCAGCCAGTACATCCTATTTCAAAGCCAGGCTCTCATACATGGAAAGAGTCAGGACTTCTATTGTGTAATTTCATCTTCAGCAGCTGGCTTCACACAACAGGGTTGAGCATGGGTGGTCACTGAACCACTGGCTTGTTGCGTTGCATGAGCTTGGCCATGCTAACCATGGTTTCTTAATCAAAAGCAACCCAGAGTTCACAACTCAACAATAAACCATGAGTTTTGTGTTGTTGTTTTAAAACGCAATCCCACAAACATGTCTGTTAGCATGGTTGGGTTTGCACAACACAACAGTCCCTGGTTCAATAGCAAGCCATCACTTTGTTGTTGTTAGTTGCGAAGTCATGTCCGACCCATCGCGACCCCATGGACAACATTCCTCCAGGCCTTCCTGTCCTCCACCATCCCCTGGAGTCCACTTAAGCTCACGCCAACTGCTTCAGTGACTCCATCCAGCCACCTCATCCTCTGCCGTCCTCTTCTTCTTTTGCCATCTATTGTTCCCAGCATTAGACTCTTGGGTTTAAGTATGGATAAAGCCATCACTTTATCCATACTTAAACCTAAGTGTGTCTTGTTGTGTTGTGAGAAGTCAGCCAATGAAGGCAAAACCACATAATAAAAATCTGGGTTCTCTTCACACATGCTCATATGGATTTCAAGTCAAATGTTACATTGACTGAAGATTTTACCTTAATTCATTAGTTCATGTGGACTTAGAAGTTCAGTGCGGCTTTTCTGCCAGAGTCTTCTCACTGCACCCTCCTAGGGACTTTCTTTTCTAACTGTGTTCTGCCTCAGGCTCCTGGTTTTTTGCCTGCACCTTTCACACACCCTTAGGCTGGTCTGTGAGCTGCCAAGGTCAGCCCACATGCTGGCTTCCGATGGCTGAACAGCACCAATGTCTCAATAGCACTTCTGGATGCCAGCAGCCAAGGGAGCCTGAATAGGCACTTCTGTTGCCATGCCAGATGAGATGGGCTCACACTGGCAAATACTGGCAGTGCGTCTTTCACAGACAAGTATTAGTTTAGGAAGCAAGTGGGGAATTTTGTTTCCTCCTAAACAAACCTCATAGGCTTCTTTCATCATAGCCAGTTTGTCTTCAAATTTCTCAAGGCTCCAGAAAGTTGCAACACCCAGTCTGATGTTGCGGACCTGCACTTGAAGAGAAGGGCCAGTGCCATTTTCTTGATCCATTGCATCATGTCTAGGAAAAGAAGAGAGGAAGTACATCCAAAGCACACAGGCTCAGAAAGCATCTCTGTGCCTCCTGATTAATTATAACATTGGAGAGGAATAGAAATTATATTTTACATACAGATTGCAAAGTAAACAATAACTGAGCTTCATTTTGAAATGAAACACTTACAACTACACAAAAGAACCTTATGGCAGCATTCATAGAATTTCATAGAAATGTTCAGAACTTTGAGAATCTCTGTCTTTATTAATTGTAAATTATAAGTGCTCAGATCAGTGTGTTCACGGTTTATTTTACTTTTGCTTTTAAGCAGTTTAGATACTTTGCTGAAATGCTGTCTTAATTGGTTTTGGTTGAATCAATGCAACATAAAAGCATAAATTGCTTTACTTCAAATACTTACCTACAAAAGACAGTGTGCTTCTCTAATTTACTGCTAATAGTGTTGGCCTCCTTGATCATCATGGACAGTTTCAAAGAGTTCCAGTTTGGTTCTGCTAAACATTTTTTTACAAAGGAAAAAAGCATGATTACTGGCTAACAATCATGTCAGTCGGTGAATTATCAATCCCTGAAATTATGAATAAGTAGTTATTTATAATGATACTCTCAGTGGGATATGGCGCTTAGTTCAGAAATTAGCCACCCTAAAATTGGGGCATAGATATTAACAAAGGGAAATCTGAATATCTCTTTTACCTGGTTTGCACTTAAACAGCCCAGAATTATAAACCATGGTTTAATACTGGGTTAAAACTCTGGACAGTTTAAGTCTAAGCTCAGACAACATAACTAATAACCCAAGAAAGGGGTTTTCCTGGGTTCTTTCTCAAAATAAGTTGCAGGCAGGCAGGATGTGCTGTGTCTGCTCTTGATCTCAACAATTTGAGTTAAACAACGCATGAATTGTCATCATGTATGAAACGGGTCTCCATCAGTGATCACCCAGTTGTCCCTTCAGGCACAGTGGCACTTCCACCATTTCCCTTTCTACAGCTTTTCCAGCTGCAAAATGCTCCACATACTACTTTGGCAGGTTTCCCAGTTCTCAAAATCAGTTTTATGTGTGACATGGAAAAACCAAGTATATACACAGAAACATCTCTACAGCTCTTCCTGGATCACTAAGAAGATGAGAAAACCTGTGTGTCTAATGGTATTTCTTATGCTTGTACATGTTGTCCATTTTTCAGGAAAGACTTTAATCATATCACATTGGTGTGGGTAGCTTGCCCTGGGCTACCTCAGACTTTTTTTCCTATCATCTCTGGATTCTGTACTGACTGAGACACCTGACACCCAAGCTCCATCAAAGGTCAGGTGTTATTGCAGATTAGCAGTAGGAGATGGAGACAGCCTTCTTCGCAAGCTTGTAGCGTGGCATCACCCACATCACCAACTGGATTGCTTTTACCTGCTTTTAGAAATAACAATTGCAGTCAGGGATTTGGCAGGCAACAGCAATACATCAGGTTCCAATTATTAAAAACTTACTTGTCTACCTTAACTTTTCCTAGCCAGTACTTTATATGATTGTCATGCTTTTCTATGACGTGCTGTATAATAATTTATTATAAACTGCAGAAGGATTTTTAAAATGAGAAGAGAAATGAAGTATTTTAAAATATATGTGAACTTCAGGGATTGCATGAACCCTAAGATGCTGTTGCCCTCTAAAACAGCAGTTCATTTGTACATTAAGTAGTTTTCACAGTTTCATGTGAATACAACTTCCTCCAAGTTTATCCTCAGAATATGTTTGTAAAGAATTAAAGGCTGCAATTCTATACAAACCTGGGGATAGTTCCTACTGAACTCATTAGGGTCTATTTTGGACACAGGGTTGTATCTGACAGTGCCATTTTGTTTATCATTTTGGTAAGAAACCCTGTTCATACCCTTGTGCAAATGTACAGTCTAGTACTTTGATTCTGTTTGTGCAAGCTCTTACACAAGGCATTTCACGAGTAGTTGTGCAAGCCATTGTTATTGCATGGGTTTTACTGAAAAAATAGCAAAATTGCTTATTAAGATTCAACAGGTAGGTTGGTGAACTTTCCCAGTGTCCAAAAGCAAGGAGAGTTTTCTGGAGCCACGCCAAGGCCTTGTAGCCTTCAGCTTGTTACACAAAGCATTGGAGATAATTGCCTTGAAGCTACTTTTCCCAATCGTTCTGTAGAAAAGGGCTGCTTTTGCTGTAAGAACAAAACTGTTTGCCTTACAAAAACTGTTTCTCCCTAGCACCTCATTTCCCAGGATGCAGGCATTGAAGCCCAGTGCATACTGACAGACTCCACAGTAGTGGAAAAGAGGGCTCTTATACAATGCATGGCAAGAAGCACTGTCTTTTGTTCTTGGCTTGGGGAGAAGAATTGATGGGTAGCTCACCCAGGCAACTTTAGAGGTCCTGGCCTATCCAGAAAACCGACACAGTCACAGAGAAGATGAATGGAAGCCTTCTTTCTCTTGTTTATATTCTGCCTCCCTATTTTATCATTGCATTCAATTCAACAGGAAGATCTCTGTTCCCACTATCTGTGAACTTGAAATGTGATGCCTTGGCTGGACCAGGCACTTCGAGTTAAAACAGCAGCATAAGATTGTGCACAACTTATTACAACCTCATGAGATGACATGTTGCTTGTGATTTATTCTCACAGTTGTTGTGTAACCGCTAACAGAACAACAGGAACATTTGTAACTATTCCAGAGGCATACAGTTGGAGATTAGGATAAGGTTAGATATAGTCTACATATAGGAATGCACTGTGGAAACCATGTATTCAATAGCTGTGAACTGAATGGAGAAGAAACAGGAAAGGGCTGCCCTCCAAACAAAAAGTGTACATCAGTGTACAGTCAGTATACATTCTCTGTATACGGTATAGTTGTTGTAAGGAAAATATATATTTTCAATACTGAGCTGGTCATGGGTGTGGGGAGAAGCCTTTTCCAGAAGCCTACTGGAGGGTTGAGATGAAATACATAAAATCTCATTAATATTTGTGAGTAAGCACTATTCAGCAAAATGTATTATAATAATACCTTTAGTTCTCTTTCCCCGACTCTGCTGAAGAATTTGCACTTCCTGAGCAATTTTCTGCTTCTCTGCCTCCAGAGCTTCAAGAATCTTGGCACGACGAATTGCGTGATCTTCCAAAACCTTGCACAAAACAAGGACCACAACTTTTTCAGCAAAAGAAGGAGCTCTATTTAATATTCTACTTTCTGTTCTTAGACTTCTTCACTACACGAGCTGACCATCCTAAAAAGGGGTAAATTACCGACGTGGCTCAAAGCATGTATACTCTGGAGAATCCTGCCCTTGAATGAATTCAACACTAGTAGTGCAAATCTACATTCCATTGGTAAGGCTTACATAAATCATCTTCCACTCCATTTTATTCTTACAACAAACCTGTGGGGTAGGTTTGGGCAAGTCACTGCCTCTCAGCCTAAGTCATCCCCACTTTGTTTCATGACTGCGTGGGAACAGAAGCAAGATCTCAGGTGAACACTCTAACCACTATTCCCATACTAGCTCTGACCTTCCAGAGACCTCAATCAGATACAGCAACATGGATATCTTGTTTAACTTTACAATTACACAAGCGTGACACAAACCAAACTCAGTTTTGCTGATGTGCTGTTTTTCGACATTGGCCTGTGCCCAAAGCAGCTCGCAAGAAATATCAAAATGCGTATTTAAAAATGAAAATTTAATATTTTAATAACTTTCAATGTCATCTATAGGTTTTAATTTGCAGCCAGGGTGAATCTGGAATTTATTTGTAATATTTGTATTGTGTTCATTTATTTATGTAAGCCGTCCCGAGGCTATGTGATGGGACAGCATGCAAAAATTCTAAATAAATAAATAAAATTTAGCAAAACATCTACTGCTTTAAAGGCAACAAAATCAATTCAGCAAACATTGGATAAATCCATTATTGCAGTAAACTATATATATATTACATGACACGTACAGAGCAAAATCAGAATTGCCTAGCCTCTACTGTTCGCACGAATCTTGCTAACACTTTGATCAGTCCCAGCAGGCTGACTTAAATATAATTCCGCAGGAATGGGTATTTTCATCCGACTAGATAATTCAACATCGGGCTATTTCATTTCTCCTCCAGAAGAGGTTGCAATACTCATTCGAAGCCCCTAACTTGCAATTATTTCTAAACTGAATTAGGGTTCGGTTCACAAGGAGAGAGAGATCAAGATCATTTTCTTCAGTAGTTACATCTGCCAAGAGAAGTTCTGAAAGACGTCTTATTTCCTTCCCATAGGATTCCCAATCTCCAATGTGAAAGCGAGTGCTTATGCAACACAGCCCCAGGAAATGCCTTTGAATGCCCCAATTCCAATTGGCACATCAGCAGAGCATCCGAGTTACATAAATTCCTATTTTGCAAATACCTCAAAAGGGGAAAACTAGAGGACACCCGAGACTTTACTTGGTCATACAAGATAGGAAGTACAGATTCAACAGAGTAATATTAAAACAGGTACAATGTCCAATCGATGAGACAAGATGCTAGGGAAGGAGGTTGTCGTTTCTGAATTTACCTCTCTGGCAGCCAACGTCTCCATTTTCAAGCGCTTCTTGTTGAAGTGTACCTCTAGCTCAAGGCCTTGTTTTGCTTTCTCCAGCTCTTGAATTCTGTTTGCAGCCATCTGATTATTCATTTCCTGCAACTGAGTCCTACGGGATTCTTCTTCCTAAGAAAAGACAGACAAATAATATGTACCAACATTCTTTACCCGCCCCCTCATCAAAGCCATTGCCCTAAACAAAATTCTATTCATGTGTGCACATATCTTTTGTCCCCTATTCCCTCCCATTATTCTAATAGTGCATGGTGACCCTGTGACTATCAAAGAAATGGGCCACCCACAGACAAGGTAACGATTCTGTCATACCTGGAGACCCCACAGGAATTCAGAAATACGTTTGTTCATTAAAATGGCAGGTGAAAAACCTCTAAAACATCCCAACGAGTGTGCTCATTGAACCAGAGAAGTCACAGACCTTTGCAAGCCTTGTCTTCAAGCCTTCCGAGGTTCATTTTATGCTGGGAAGGGAAGGGGGAGAGTGCTATGAGGCTAAAGAACTCCCCCTTCTGAACTACATGGGCAACCTTCAGGAAGGCAGTGAGAAGGACACCATTTTCATTTTCTACTCACTAACCTGTCTCTTTCCTCCCTCGCTATATCTAGATCAAACTATGGCTCTGTTCAGACAACACAACAAGCCATGGTGGCGTTTTACCATTACTGGTCTGTCATGCTGTCCAAACCTAGTCATGGTATTTTTACCATGGTAAATTTGTACTTTAAAAACCATAATGGTTTCTCTGTACCAACGCGGCTTGCTGTGTTGTCTGAACCCAGGAACATGGCTTCCATAGTCCAGAATGTGACTACTCCAACCATCTAGCCTCTGTGTAGACCGTTGAGAAAGAGGCAGGTGACTTAAGCAGAGAGTGATGCACCTTGGGATTCAATTTCCGGCACAGTAGCTAAAGTGGGAAAGATGGAAACCATGATAAAATGGAAAGCATGTGATCATCTGTCAGGTAGATGATGGCAAGAAACCTCAAACCATGGTAACCATGTAGGATCTGCTTCCTTATAGACTGTGTCCACACAACACTACATCTATATACCTGAGCCCTATGGAGCTACATACAACTTTAAGGAAAGTTTAGGAAAGGAGGAATGAAAATTATTCTCATTGTTCCCACACAGCATCACAGGCTGCGGGAGGCTGCATTAAAACATGCACCTTTGCCTTTACCTTGACAGATTCTGTCCCATCCCTAGAGAATGCGCATCCTTGCCCTTATCGCTGTAGTGCTCTTAAACTGACTGGGTGTGTCTTCTGACGCAAGCAGTGATGCACTGCATGCCCACCATTCAGAGCCCATCCCTGCTGCGTGCGACCACGGTACGATCCACGCCACTTACTTCAACCCTCTCCATCATGACTTACCAGCTGTGTTTCTAATAACTTTATCTGGTTCTCGTAATTCTTCTGCTGAGAACTAAGTTCTTCTTGAGCCATTTCCTTCGCAATTTGCATACTCTGCATCATTTCTTCCTTAGCCTTCAGCCGTGCTTCTTCTATTTCTGATTCAAGTCTAAGAAGTGTTTTGAAAAGCAAAGGAAAGGCATACATTTGGAGCAAAATAGTCCATCTTACATTTTTACCACCGAAGAATATCACTAAATCCCATTTCCAGCCTCCATACATTTATGAACCAAAACGATGAGCTTTAATTTTTTCAATATGCTGTGCAGGGCATCTCACCTAATTACTATTTAAACATAGGTCTAGAGCTCCCCTTCTGGAAAACTGCAAGGCATTCATCTTCCACCTTTTAATATCATTGCTGGCACAAGGAAACCCACATCATCCAAAGAATAGAGGAAAAATCCAATGACAATACAGGTTCTGCCTCTGATAGTGTGTTTATTTGGCTGTAGTCCAGCAACCTCTTTGTTACATCTGTAGATAATTAACCATAACCATTTTGTCTCAAACTGCAAGGAAAGAACAGTGGTGCCCAAACCAAGGCTTGGGAGCCATGTGCAGAGTTCCTTTTGTGGCTTGCTGATTGCTATTGCAGGCACCCAAGGGGATCCACTTGCCGCTCCCTGCCCCCCAAAGTTGCTTGCTGCTCCCCACCCTCTCCCGCCCCTGTGAGCACCCACTTGCAGCTCTCAGTCATCTGACATAATTACCGTGTGTGTCTCTTCCATTGAGCAAGTCAGCCCACCCCTAGAATAGAATATATTAGCTCTGCAGGTGACCATGGGTTATAAGTTTAAGTCTTTGCCTGAATTTAAAGTTTCAGCACTAGCAGGATTTCAATATAATTTTAAGAAACCCACGGGACAACTTCCTTACAGATTAGTAGAGTATAAATTAAATTAAATTGAAAAGCTTTAGTTTAGGCATTCTTCTCCTATGGGTACAAAAATTATTGTCATTTTATGTGTATGTTCACATATCCAAGTTGTAAAAATCGGCACACAGCTTTAGCTTAGAATGTCTGTGCCTACTTACTGAGCCTTCTGTGCAGCCAGCAATTCATTTTTTGCAAACTCAAAATCTTTTGGACCATCCTCAGGAAGGGATGCCCCACAATACCGACTCTTTACTTTCTGAACTTCTACTGGATGGTTAAATCGAAAATAGTGATCACCGCCAAGAATGATGCGATCGCCCTAGAAAATTCAGAAGATATTAGATGGCTGCATATTATCAAGTGTTTGGAGGGAAAAACTCAAGTAATCAAGTGATATAAGCTTAGCCATCCACAGCCTACTTTAAATCGGCATATAGCACGTGAATTTAAATTTCCATCTCAGATTCCGTGCATACATAAATCTAGTTGTGCCTGTTTCGATCAACTTACGTGATGCAGAAATGTGGGCCCTGAAATGCATTTTCCGTTGACATACGTCTTTGCTTCCCCCACTGGGATGGTACACACAGCACCCTCCACATGCCTGATAATGCTGCAAATGAAAAACTTCATGTTACCCCACGCAAATGGCACACACAGGCCGTGATCCAAAGAGTGAATGGCTACCCCAGTGGAATGTGACTCCATCGCCACACCCACAACCTGCTTTTGAAATTAGTCTCCTTTCCAAAGGCCAGTGTTCGGGTTCGGATTAGGTCTTGAACCCACACAACTGCAGCCTCCTTCTAGTGTTGTTCCCCACAAAGCAGTCCTGTGAGGGGCCAGCCTCTGAAGACAGAATCTTCCTATAACCTTCTGTTGCATTCACTGTTAGACTAAGTCAAGTCCATTTATTTTAATGAAGGTCAAAGATTATAGACAACTCCAGAAGGTCAAAGATTATAGACAACTCCATAAGTTACTGTCATTTATTTATATCCTGCCACTTCTCCTCTTGCAAGGGACCCAAGGAGACTCACACGGCCCTCCTCTGCTCCATTTTATCTTCACAAGCACCTTGTTGAGGAGAGGTTAGGCTGAGAGTAACTGACTTGCCCAGCGAAGTCACTCAGAAAGCTTCTTAGCTGAACAGGGACTAGAACCCAGATCTCCAGAGTCCCAGTCCAATGCTGTAACCACTGTACTACACTGGCTTTCAGTAACATTTCTCATCTTATCCATCCAAAAATTTATCTAAGTCCCTTTAGCCATCCTAAGCACTGCAACATGAGACTGCCTCACTGGATTCCGACCAATTATATTTTAATAATTGTGTGTGCGTGCCCTTCCTTCCTTCCTTCCTTCCTTCCTTCCTTCCTTCCTTCCTTCACACACACACACACACACACACACACACACACACACACACACACACAGGGTGGGGGAGAGTAGCCATTTTGCTGAGACAAAAACCTACCAATGGTCATCAGCAATTAAAACGCCAGACAACTGAATATCATGACGTGAATGTGGCTTGCATTTCCCAACAGTAGTTTCTCCTTCCTTAATCATGTATAGCAACATCTCAGACAGCTGCGGATCTTCATTCAGGTTGACCAAGTTAGGTAGACTGTTGTCTACCTTGAACGTAATACCTGCTTTCTAAAACAAAGGATCAGAGAGTGAGAGATTAATTTTGTGAGCCTAAAATGATATATTTACTTACTCCTTTTAAGGACTTAGTCTAGGCAAAAAAGGTGGAATTTAATTTTGGGAATGCCCAAAGTTTCGCATCAGTGCCTGAATTTGCTTAAAGAATAGTACCTGTAATTCCACTGTTTCTTCAAATTTCTTTTTTTCTGCTTGTTCAAGTTTTTCTTTCCAGGCCCTATATTTATTCAGAGGAAAAAATCAGTGGTTTAGCCTCAAACAGCAAACTGTATTAGTCTTGCAAGTGCCAGAAGATCATAAGTACCTTTGCATCTCAGCCATCTCTCTCTCTTGTTGGTGCAGCTTCATCCTTAGAGATGTTATTTCTTGTACGTAAAGTCTCTGTTTCTCAGGGTCAACATTCTGCATGTTCTTTTGAGCCAATTTCAGTTTCTCAATTTCAGCTTTCAGTTCTATATTTAACAAGAATATTTAACCAATAAGTCACAACACTACCTTACATTAACAAATACGTTGGTGAAATTTGTGAAGACTCATTACATTGAGAAATATAAGGAATAGTTGTGCTAGATAAAGGAACCAATGACTTAGTACACACAATGAAATAAACCATGGTTTGTTTATGGGCTGAAAGCAAGCAAACCGGCTCCTGAGCAATTGCCCTTTTTCTGATGGGCTAAACTAGTCAGGGATGTCCCTGTCTGAGCCTAGAATTCAGGGTGAAGGAATAAACAACAAGACTTTGGACTATAGCTCTGCTTTATTTATTGCGGGTTTGAACAATCCAAGGATAGACTATTCCTCAGCTGTTTAGTGCAGGAAGCAGGAGCAGAAGCTGGAAAGCAGTTCAGAGCTAGCACAATTGCTCAATCCTGAACAGCCCACAATTAACAAACTGTAAATTCATCAAACTGGAACAGATCAATGGCTCGAAAACAGGTAGCACCCTCAGTAAGCACAAGGGAATTTTTGCTTACAGGAGGATTGTTATACTCCTCACATCAGAATGATCTGTCCAAAAAGTATGATAACCTACCAGCCTCATTCGGATATAACACAAAACCCTAGGCTCACACAAAATTTCTCTTCCCTGCATTGGCAAGAAGTTTGCATATCTCCCTTTCCATATTTGACAAACTGAAGCTTAACATGACTTAGCTATGGTTTACTAAAACAAGCCAACTTTAAAAAATGGTTTATGAAGCTGGTTTAAGTAGATCATAGTTAAGATGAACCAGAGTTTAGGACATGGATGCAACACTAAACTGCAGTTAATAAAAACTGAAAGCAGATGCTTCCAATCTTCTCATAGCCCCACAGAAGGGGACTACATGAAACTTGTGTATGTAATGCTAAGCCATGGTTTGGTACAGGGATAGGTACCTTTTTAGGCTACTGGGAACATTTGGAAATTTTAGAAATTGTCCCAGGCATCATTACAAGCATAACTGGCAGGTGAGGCATGGCTAATCAAGAAGAACAAAAGAGACAGTATGATAAGGTGGTGAAAGAGAGAGCTGGACTGGAGATGTGGGAGACAGGTTCTAGTCCACACTCAAGCAATGAATCCCTCCAGGTGACTCTGTGCCAGTCATTCATTTCCTCACAAGAGGAAAAAAGATGGGATGTAAATGTAGCATAATCATACTTAACTTGCCTGAAAGAAGGAAAGGGGGAGATATAAGCCCAAACATACTAAATGACTCCTTTGCACCCACATATTTCAGTACTCACAAAAACTATCACCCAGAATACAAACTTTTCCTCTCCCATTGTAAAGCAGCAAACACATTTTCTTCCTCAGTTCCTTTTCTCTCATGTACTAGATCACCCGTTCACTCACTCTCATTCACACACATACACTCATCTAACCTGTTACAACATTCATTAGATTTCTATCCCATCCATTAGCTAAACTTCTATAACTACATTCTGCGTGTGCAGTGAATGAAACCAAATATTTTATTTTTTAAAAAATCCAGTCCCTAGGTATGCACCTAAAAAAGTATAGGGCGAGTGAAAAAAAAAACCCTGTAATATATGGTTATGAACAGACACATACAGAGGCATGAGTTGTAACTCTTGAGATTGTATAATCAAAGAAATTTTAAATAAATAACTGGCTGTATATCACCTTTGAGCTGTTAAGTCGCTTTCAGAGCAAAGCAGTTCCTAACGAAGTTGATTAAAATGCCAATGTACACAGGCAAATTTATCACAGCATCAGACAGAAATAAAAGCTTTTGCACCCTTGGTGAGTTTCAGCTACATGTTTCTGTTTGTGAATCGGTGCAGGCATCTTTCCAATTGCATCATTAAGTGCATATGCCCTGAAAAATCTGAAGGCATCTCAACATAGGGTGTGAATACCCTTTTCTACTAACCAGCAAAATCACTGTAACTCTTACCTAGGATTAATTTAGCATTTATGTCTTCATTGACTTTGGCAACGTTGATTATGAAGCATGCTTGCTTAGCATATCGAAGAGTGCTGAGCGTTTCTTCTACATTGCTGGCAGCTGGGCTTATTGTGGCAATCATAGCAGTTTTTGAATTTCCACCAAGGCTTTCCTTTAGCAGCCTTCATTTGGAAGAAAGGAAATGATGACTTTTCCAATGTGAATCTCTATTAAGACAGGACTATATTTATGTTCTGAAGTGTGTAACTTAGAGTGCAAATGCCCAGGTTCTTCACCTGTGAAGTCAGGATGTTTCCTTCATTCTCCATGCAAATTGCTTTCCCAACACTGATCTCTCCCTGCCCTCCAGATTCAAGAACCCTGTCAGAACCAAGGAGGGGAATGGGCCAAACCAAAACATGTGTTTCTGTGGAGCTGCTTCTCCTCCGAGTGGCTTGGCAAGCACCACTCAAAAGTTTGGGTCAGCATCCTTCCTGGTACCAGAAAGGACAGATACCCAGAGGTTACTGGGTAAGCACTGGGGACATCACTCCCTTCAGTAAAGGAAAAACTGTGAATGGAGGGAGATCCCAGATCAGTCATAGCATGCAACTATGAAGAGCACTTCATTTAGCCTGGGCCACACCAAGGGTTTCTTGGGAAAACAGCAAGGCCGAGGTTGAGCAAAGCACACTTATTTCTCCATGGAATTGATGGAACAGGTCTCTCAGAGTTCATCAACCACAGGAAGGCTGAGGGCTGGCTGCCCACACAGCTGTTAGTGCAAGCCATTGATGGAACTTGCAACTTCTGTGAGTTGCAGGGGGACCTAAACTCTATCAAATATTAAGGCATTACCCAGCTTTACTGATCTACCCAGCTGGAACAGCATGCCTTCTGGGTTCATTCAAATTCCGAAGAAAATGATGTTAACCAGGCATCGAATAGCTCTAGTCCTCAGTGCCAAAGGAACTGAGCACTGTGTTCTCAACTGGACTGTTATGGTATAGTTTGCATTATTTGTGATATTCCCTGGGACAAACTCGTAAGCATATACTTATTTCCCTTTAAGCTGATTGTCACTTGGAAACATGGAATGCTAGAGCATCAAGCAAAACCCATTTTAACTTCCACTGATCAAAATAAGAGAGACTTACAGTGTAATGCTATACATGTTTACTCAGAAGTAAGCCTTGATGAGTTCAATGGAATTTAATCCCAGGTGACAATTTTTGGAGGAGTAATTTGTTGCAGCAAAAACACTTTAAAGATTGGGGGGAAAGGTTCCTAAATAAGCTTGCATAGATTGTCCCCTTCTTCAGATACCAGAAAGGAATCCATTTTTGTGGCCTGTTTAAGGTTCAGGATGATGCTGGGGTAGAAGTTATTGAAGTCCTGGTAGAATTGGCAGGGCCTTCATGAGACCAGCTAATAAAAATGTCATTGATGACTCTTAGACAAGAGGTTTTTGGTAACAGAAGCTGAGAAAGCCTTGTCCAAAGTCACCCATGAAGAAGTTGGCCTATGGCAGGATCTTTATCTGATAACGTGCACAGCAGCCACAAAAGCTTATGTCGGAATAACTATACCAGTCTTTAAAGTTTGCAAGACTCTTGCTTTGTTTTTACCTCAGGGGAGCATAGGACTGTCGCTTTAGTCTGCAGTTCTGGAGTCCTATGCACATTCAACATGGTAGGCTTCACTTTTGAGTAGACAGGTATATATGATTGTTACCAAGGGCATTTCTAACTCTTCCACTGAAATCAGTAGGTCCGAAAAGAACTGTATTTGGATGCATGCGGCCTACAGCAAAAACTGACATTTTCCTTGAATTAGCTCAGTTCCACGGACAGAAATCAGAACTGGAGTGAACCAAAGTGAGTGTGCCGGTGGGGTGAAAACAGTGCCTTTATTAGAATAAGCCAGCACCCTGTGGAGGACAGAATTCCATCCTTTAGTGATGCTGTTTTCTGATGACTGCCCTGCCTTGGCAACAGTGCAGGCAGAGGGAAAGGTTCACTACAAAAATTAACTACCCCAAACTTCTACTATGACGCATAAAATATACACATACCATGTAAGAACAGATTCCCGGTATGGAATGAACACCTTCTTCCTGCTCTGATTTTGCTCAGACAGGGCAGAAATAACTTTTCCCAAAGTTAACAGGGACTTGTTTATGCTCACACCTTCCTACAAAGAGGAGAAAAGAAACTGCCTTATGATCAACGTATTACAGCCAAGCTTCCTATGGAGAATACAATCAGAGTTAAGACAGCCAGAGATCACCTTCTCCCCATGGTTGTTGTTATGGGATCATGTATGCAGGGACAGCTGTTACAATCATAGATTAGTAGAGCTGGAAGATGCCATGAAGGCCATCAGGCCCAACCCCCGGCTCAGTGCAGGACTCCCAAGTTAAACCTTCGCTCTCAGATGGCTGCCCAGTTGCATCTTGAATACTTCATTTGAGCTGAGATAACTTGAACTGCTCTGTGCAGAAAGAACTCCAAACATCTGAGCTGGATCTTATTTCCCTCCTCAAATTTCATGTAGAAATTGGATAAAGAAGTCCTAGGAAGTCAAGCTTGTAGCTCAGTGGCAGAGCACACACTTTGCAAGGAGAAGGTCCCAGTGCAGTTCTCTGTATCTCAGAGACCCCCAGGAGATCTGGAGAACCACTTCAAGAATTAAAACAGACAATACCGCCCTAATTAGGGAGTGGTCTGACCTTATATAAAGCGACTCCAGTCATATGAACACAGTCACTGTTCATAAGTACAACTTGGATTACGGGTTTTGTGCTATAGTACTATAAATCACAGCACAGTAGTGATTGTTAGGTATGGGGACCAACCGGAAAGCTGATCACAGCTTAGCAAAGAACCATACACTCTTTTTACCTTCAATCTTTCTCCACTGGTTTGAGCTGCAGAGCAACGTTCACTGCCTGCAAGGTCTATTAGATTGACACGACTGATAATTCTGTATTCATGTTCCTCCTTTTCCACAATATCTGTCTAAAAGAAATGACTACAATCAAGTATCTCTGCCCAACTTGTACTCTATGAGTTCAGTTCAAAAGAACTCCAGCTACTATCACATCTATTCTTATCACTTTAAAAACCAGACAATTTCCTCCCTAACATGCCATTAAATTTCTGTAACATTTAACACTTCATAAAACAAGATGGCAATAAAAGCAAATGCTAATTTTTACATTCGAAAAAGATCTTACTGGAAGCACCCTACGTGAAATTACTTCACTCTGGAAGGTTAAACAAGTTGTGTTGATGCTCAGTGCATTAACAACAATGAATGCTGCAAAAGTATGAATTCCAGGTCTGTCATAGATCGTAGAGGACAGAGGGCTTCAATAAAAAGAGGACCTATACAATTCAGGAGAATCCCAAGCCCACTCCTGTTGTGATCAGCAAAGAAGAAATCTTCTTTCTCAGCCAAAAGAATTCAGATTGTGGAAGGGTGGAGAATTTGGCTATCCCAGGGTCAGCATCCTCAAGCACCTCATTCTGATACCTGTCCCAATCTTGAGGTGGTGAGGCAGTGCACCTGCACACTGACCTTGCAGCATGAAGAAAAACATGCTTGGGAACCTTCGTTCGGCTGCAAGGCGGCATTCTGACCACAAGGTCTTTTTCCTTACATAAGTGGCCATCTTACGCTACTCTGCCCTCCTCCATGATTGTAAGCAGCCCCAAGAGCACTTGCCAGTTGGGTGACATAAACATTTAATAAATAAATAGATCGCTCTTGGTGGCTGATATTGATCAGGGAAATAGCACTTATTTTGTAACAGCAAATTCATAACATTATTTACTGTATTATTCACATTAGATGGTGTTAATTACCAAAATATAACAGAAAAAGAAAGGAGAACCAAGCTACCACTCTTGGTCAGCATGAACAAACAAAGTTGTTGGAATGCAAATGTACACATATGGAAAAAAACAAACAAAACACAGAGAGTGGAAGGAGGGTTAATAAAGGAATTCTAGTTATCTGGCTACTTGAATCTTTTTTTTTATACAAGCGGGAAAGGAGAAAAGTTCTTTTGCTGAATTCTTCCATGTTTATCAATCCTTAAAAATGTATACTAAAAAAATAAACATAGTACCTTTGTTTGTGTCATCACCAGGGTGAAAACAGAATGAGAACGAGAACTCTTGTCATTCATGCCGGTGGCAGCTGTAGCCCTGTGTTTATTTCCTAACTGGAGCCAGTTCTTATAAAAGACAGAGTATGAAAATGTTTAGAAAGCATGGCGAGAATCATTAGGTCTTTTAACATTAGGGAAAAAACCACTAGAACTGATCGAGGCAAAAAAGGATACATAACTATGCTTTATTTAGCTTTGCAGCCATCTGTAAATTATAAAAAGACTAATAGGATTTTAATTTAGTAGAACACTGCAATATTAAAAATCACGTGGTTGTATGTTCGTAAAAAAAATTCAGCTCCATCGGAAACAAAGAAGTTTACATCTGACAGGTGTCAGAATTTCATGCTCCCATTTATATCCCACCTTTTTTTCTTTTTTAAAAGAACTTGAAGCAGCTTACATCATCCCCCTCCTGCTGCTTTCAATCTTATCTCTACAACAACCACCCTGTGAGGTCACCCAGTTGGCTCCATGGCTGAGCAGGGACTACAACCCAGATTGCCCGAGTCCTAGTCCTGTACTCTTGACAAGTACACCACACCGGATGTCTCATGGAGCTCCTAGACACTTGGAAAAGGGATGACAAGCTGTTTAGAAGAACAGCTCTTATCAGCAATATGGAAATTCTTGCCTTGGAGTGCAGAACGCCCCCATCTTGAAAGACTTGGCAGAAGGCCAAGAGCTGCGACGGCTTGATGGGACAGCTCTGCACAGTTCTGTGTCTGTCGGACTGGCAGAACTGCATCCTAAAAGCCTATTGAGGTCCCACAGTTTCTCTCAGAAATGGCAACCCCTGGCTTGGTGGTATTGATTTTGAGTGAGAATTGGTTGGTGGTTTTCTATGGTATTATGTTTTGCCTTGGAATCCACAGACAAAAGCAGTCAGAGATAACCTTACAAAACCAAATGAATTGTATAACTCGTGTTAACCTATAACTGTACAAAATAGATGCGCTAAGGTAGTGGTCCCCAGAAGCAGGCTTCCAACAGCAGATAAAGAATTGCTTCCTTTTTTTGTTACACTCAAGGAGCTTCCGTCAACACCTGAAGTCCTGATGGAATTTCGACAGGAGACATCTCGCTTACAATTGGACTGCTCTGCATGGTGACATGGCCAATCAAGGCTCTGCCCATGGATGCATGCCTGTGCGCATGCGTGCTCATGCTTATCACGCCTGACATTTAAAAGAGGCACCTCCTCGAATAATAAAAGTAGCCATATGAGTAAAAGCAAGACCTTTGATAGTTTCTCACTCTGGGTCGAGGTTAGTCATCAAAGCAGACACACCAATCCTGCAAGTAACTTTCTATCAGTGTTCGGATCCTGCTACATGGAAAGGGTTACCAGTTCAGCTATTTTGCTTAAAAGCAGGTAGCATGTCAGCGCAACCACATTCTACCTTACTCTATAAAATTCTGCTTATGATCACTGGAAATGGGCAGTGGGATTTTACATACACCCTTTGAAAGCCCTATCATTTATACTACAACAACAGAACCTTACCTGGATTTCCGTGTAAGAACTAACAATATTCCTAAAAGTGGAGGGAAAAAATATACATATTTCACCTGTTGGCATTGGGTGGATGCAATCATATAAACACAGGCTAAAACCTACAAATTGTACAACTTATATTAAAACTCCACATAGCTTCCATGACACCAACAGGTCATAGAGATGTTCTAGCAGTTGAGTAGCCCAGGTATGAACAACACCTGCAAGAATGAAAGCCCTCACCTGCTGATAGGCGCACTAGAGCTACATGGGAAACTATACTGAGGAATCTCAGAAGCATCAGCATCCACAGATGGAGCTCATGTTTACAAATTGTTAGAATAAGTGTCAACAGGATGTTGGCAGGCTAGGTGTGAGAAAAAGGAAAATTATGTGTTTGATTTGAATTAATAGACAAAGTAGAAAAGCCCTATGTGATACCGAAGTTAAGGAGAGCAGATGAAATGCAGGCAGTGAACTGGGAAGTAAGAGCTTCAGATGACAATGAATAGATGAAACAGATGCATCGAGGGAAATGCAGAGTGCAAGAGACAGAGTGTCAACTCAAGAGGATCTCTGAGAACGACTGGTAATCCCAACAGGAAGTTTTGGTGAGAGCTGACATTTGCAACTATTTCAAATAAACAAATTCCTTGACTGCAGGCTTCTAGTTATGTTCTGAGCAAGATAGCAGATCAGTAGACAGAAATCTGTGGAAAAACTGAAAATGGGAAGACTTACACAGTTAAGTCTTCTACATAAGGTCCAAAGACTGGATGTTCTCTTACACGAAGCTGTTGAGAAAAAAAATGCTGATTAAAACTCTATCATAAGGTTATTTTCATAAGGTTAATGCCACAATATAAAATGCAGAATCCCTTGAAACAAGGGCATCTGTATTTTTAGTGAAGACAGCTCCTCACTGCAAGAATCATACACCACAAAGTGACATGCAGACAAATCACTGGGAGAGAAACTCCCCCAAAACAATAAACACAGGTTATTAGATCTAACTAGAAGAAAAACTATTCTTGACATTCAAGCAGGTGCCCTTCAGATGGACTCTAAACATGTAAAAGTGGCTTGCCCATGAGCAGATCCCATGAGGCACGGATATTTTCGTTCAGCAAAATGCTACCAAGATCTGAGCAGCTCCTGAGAACACAGAAGCTAGTCTCTCAAGGCATCTCTCTCTACACACCCTTGCTAAAACACATGCAAATCCTGTGAAGAGAAGAGATACAGAGCTGCTTCATGCTTGTAGAATCTTAAATTGCACTCACTGAGCCAGAAAACAATCCAATTCCTTATGATGAGAGCAGTCTCTATCCAAAGGTATGATTCTGCACACCAAGGGAACGCAACTCAGGCTTGTGAGCCAAATCAAATTCGCCTGGGGGGCTTCCCCATCGCTACATTTCTCCTGGGTCCACCCCTTCCCCCCCCCCAACTACCCATTCCTAGAAGGTTTCCCAGATTTTGCAGTTTTCCCTCCTCCCATTCTAAATTTGGCATACCATTCCGCAAGCTTAATTTACTGGGAATAAGACACTGATGGTGGTTATTTTAGCTCTTCCCACTTTAGCTGTTGCACCCACCCCCCACATCTGTAATGAGGCCCATGAGCAATTTTCCAAAAGAGCATTAATCCCCATAGTACATTCATGATACAGACAAGGCACAAGTAGCTACTTACAGGTTGTTTCTTCTGCCCATTTTCAGCCTTGAGGATAAGTAAATCGTGAATTTTTTCATTGTAGACTTCAAAGTAGCTCATTTCAAGATGATAAGCGGTCTAATGACGAACACACAATGGTTAAGATAAATGATTACAGGCTTCAGAAAAAACAAAACTTGCTACTTGCCTACATGAAGGCACTTTTTCGGGTGCAATCCGATCAAGGGAAACACATTATTCAAGGACAAATGAAGCAGTCCTTTGGACAAGGATTTTCTCACCTAGACAGACAGAAGGCCGGAAAACTAATTCCATTCTCAACCACATTCCCTCAAGAAAAGCAACCAACACATTAGTTCACCCCTGTTGACATCTAACAGCTCGTTCACAGCGCTTACACGCAAGGAGAGCCAGTGTGGTGTAGTGGTTAAGAGCATGGGACTGGGACGATCCAGGTTCGAGTCCCCACTCGGCCGTGGAGCCAACTGGGTGACTTTGGGCCAGTCACAGACTCTCAGCCCAACCTACCTCACAGGGTTGTTGTTGTGGGGATAAGATGGAGGAGGAGAATGATGTAAGCTGTCTTGAGCCCTTTGTAGGAAGAAGGCAGGATATAAATTGCAATATAAATAAATAAATTATCCCTTCTCTAATACAACTGCCAAGACAACTACATGAACATCAACCAAATAGAAGTGATGGGTCACACTGGCAGCATCTCCACCACAGAATGGAGCCTCAGCCTTAAACCTACCACCTACCTACCTACCAGGAGGTGTTTCCATGCGTCCAAAGCAAACGTATGAACCACCTAGCGCAACCCTCAGATGAAAGACAGAAGATTTATTCCAAGGGCTGAGGATGATAGCATACAGACTAAAACCAAAGAAACCTTCATCTCCAGCAGTATTTTCATTTATTTATTTATTAAAGCATTTTTATGCTGCCCCATTCGCCGAAGCCTCGGGGCGGCTTACAACAATAAATAAAACCATATTAATGTACTAGCTGCAGATTCTTTTAAAAAATGAACATTTTTCCACTTATTGATCCCCTCCCCTGATAATAGTTAACCTGGTAAGTTTCCTAAGAGCCTCTGTAGTAGAGAAATTCATTTTAAGGTACTAACTCAGAAATATAAACATCACTATACTGATTAATGACCAAGGATCCCGAAACTGGCATATGGGTACCCCAGGTTCTTTTATGCACGATTTTAAATATCCCAGAACTTAAAGATATTTTTGCTCAGCTTTTACATATGGCAAATTACTCTGGTGCTTTAGGATACATAGAATGCAAGCTCCAACTTGGTTTCTATACACCACCACAAAATGGAAGGCAGAGATATGAAGCTGGAAAGCAGAGATACAAAGAAAAACAGAAGGGGAAAAATATTACTGGCCTGAAAGAAGAAAGCAGGATTCCTATACTGGCTGCTTGATCACATGTACTACATAGGATCTACCACCTAGTTCAGGTGCTGAAAATCCATAAGGTGGCCAGATGTAGCCCTGGATCGCAGAACAGTATATGAATACAACTTGTAAAAAATACAGCGTGAACTGACCCATATACCAACACACATCCTATTCGCCTAAAGAATACCGAAAGCTAGATGGCATGCAATTACACCCAGATCACAAATGACTTCTTATGCAGAGTGGTAAGTTATGGAGATTCGCTTTCGTCACAGGTAGGTGATATCTGAGCAAAACGCTATACCCTTGTAACAAAGCTGGGGATAAAATCTACTCCCCCAGGGTGAAAAATTATGAAGATTCTCAATAATCTCCCCTCCAGAGGCAAAAAAAGGAATTCAGTCCAGCATAGATAGGTTCACGCTCCAACAGTACCTGTTGTGTATCTGCTTTTGCTATTCGAGTAAAGATATCTTCACAGAACCTTGGTATTATGCCTCGTTCATGATCATCATCAAATCCCATCATGCTGAAATGGCAAATATTTATAAATTCAGGCCTTAACCTTGCAGGGGTCTTTTGCATTTCCCTAAACTAGTATCAGTATGTAACTGATCCAGAAGAATTGTTTTGTACAATATAGTAAAGTCGAATAGGACTTTTAGGAATGATTATCCAGTTTCATTAGATCAGCCGGGAAAACTTAGCCACTCTCCAATGCAAACCAAAGAAAAATAGGAGCTTTTAAACCTGGTTCAAGGTTCAAATAAAATCCGGGTCACTTTGAACAAGCAAAAGTTAATTGGACCCTGACTATCCATTTTACCGTTGAATTTAATGCTCAATCCCTGTGATGTCAGATCCTGGAATTGGACATTGTTGGGATAATAATCCAGACTTGTAGCCCATGGTTTATTCAACAGAAATAGCACATTTTGCAGGACCTTAAAGGAACAACTTTAAGTGAATCTAATTTTCTCTGGTGAAATTTGAACAGCATATGTTAGCAGCATCCTCCATTCTTTACAAGCATTCACTTTAAAAAAGAAAAAAAAGCATCAAGGGACAGCATAAATTCAGCCACAACAAAAAGCAAACATGAGGCATATCCAAGCCAACTTACGTATATGACTTTCCAGAACCAGTTTGTCCATATGCAAAGAGGCAGGTATTGTATCCTTCAAAGGCCCTTTCTAGGAGAGGTACGGCCAAGGATTGATATACCATCTCTTGGCTTGCAAAGCTGTGAGACTGATCGAAAGACCAGAAGGAAAAGTCAAAAGTGAAACGGTATATTTGCTTTGTATCTGGATGCTGCACCACAGTCTCTTGCCCAGTCATGGAAACCACCTGGAACGTTCCTTCGTTTTTGTCTCTGAATAAAAGACATAGAATGAAAGTCACATGTGGAGCAGGGAGAGGGAATAAGAATGATTAGTTATGAGCCAGCACAATTTGAGTTACAAAAAGACAGACATGAATTTCTGTAGGGCACAAAATCCAGGTCCTAATCTCCACTTGGCTATGAAGCCCAGTAGGTGACTTTGGGCCAGGCATGGATTCTCAGCCTGATCTACCTCACAGGGTTGTTGTTGTGAGAATAAAATGGTGAGGAAAAGACCCTAGTAAGCCACTTTGGGTTCCTTCCCAGAGGAAGAAAGGTGGGCAGACACATAATACAACAACAACCACCACCACCACCATGTAATTATATGTCTAATATTATACTAATGTAGCACTGTGTATACTTAATATTTTCAAAAATCAAATGCATTCTCTTAGAAGACATGTTCATCTACTCAGTATCTTTGTCAAAGGGCGTAACAAACTGCATGATCTGAGATATATAGAAATGCTTTTAAAAAATAAAAATCCTGAAAAATAAGGCTACATACCTGATGCTAAAGGGACGTACCCTCACAGCCACAGTCACCTTACTATTTTCTATCTTGAAAGCATCATCTTTTGTACACTTGTTCTGCCTCCGAGTATCTTCTTTCGGCATAACAGTTTGTTGAACGGACATGCTATTTTCTTGCACCCCTTCTTTTTTACTACTCAGAGTAAATGCATTCAAAATACTAGTACTCTTTTGGGGTACTGTTTGAAGACACAGTGTCTTATTCTTTACCATGGGAACAGTAGAATTCCTGGCATACTTAACAGGTCCATATTTGGGAGTAAATTCAATTCCTTGTGCTATACCTTTCCTTGGAGTCTTCTGTCCTTCTAAATTTTCATTTTTAAGAAAGCTTCTAGACATAGTTTTGCTTCCATTTTCCTTACCAAAATTATGTTTTCTAGTCACGTCAGAGGCCCTGTCACTTGGCTCAGCTGTCGTTAAAAGTGATGATCTAGAAACCTGAATCTGACTCTGAGAATCAGCGAGAGTCATCCTCTGTTTCATGGTGGTATAATTCCCAGGACCATTTGAACCACCACGTTTAAAATCAGAACCAATTTTCACATCAGGATTGATCTTTCCATTCCTGGAGTCTTTGCGTGACTCTAGGCCACTCATAACAAGTGGCAGGCCACTGCTGTTAGTGACAGGGGGAAGTGTACTTTTGGTACTCTTCTGCGGCACAGATACTGCATTTTCTCCTCTAGCATCATAAATGCTATTTGCTTTATGCGTCTCAGTTGATCCAATTCTTGTACGGCGTTGTAGGGTCAATCTTCTTTCTGTTTGTGTGTTTTCACTAGCATATCCAATACTCTCATTAGATTTTTCTTCCTTTGTCACAGTTCTTCTCTGGAGGGTTAGTTTGTGTTCAGTTGTAGTCACAGGTGAGGCATTGGACAGTTTGGTACAGGCAGAAACCACATAGGTCCTGTTTAAGTCTCTAGCCTTACTCAAGGACTGTGACAATGGGTTGCTGCTCTCCTTCTCTGATACACACAGCGTAAATTGTTGTCCAAACCTGTTCCTAGAACAGGTAATTTCTGCGGGCTGCTTTTGCGAAGAATCACCAAGCCCATTAATATTACTTCTTTTTGGAACTGTATAGATAGGCATTGCAGCTTAAAAGCAAGCTCAGACTGCAGGGGCAAAACTATTTCAAACAAGCAGCTCCTGAAATAGAAGAAGAAGATGTCACCAGGAGAGCTGTCTTTTTAAGAAGTACCAGTGATCCTCAAATTGTATACTCTGTATTCCACAGATCAATAATATTCCATACCTAATAGTAAAATCTTCCTGGCAGACTGAATAAAACACTTCAATAGAATTAAGACACAATCCTAGGCAAAGAAAAGTCCTGCAACTCCAGCATAGCCCAGTCAGCATTTAAAATTAATGTTTCAGCCAAAGAATAACGGCTCACGTTCCTTACTGTCAGAGGAAAAATAAAAAGAAACTCTGCAGCAGAAGAGGCTTTCCCGACGTGGAGCCCAGTCCGGTGCTGTCCAGACGTGCTGGAGTCGCAGCGTTCCCCAGCCAGGGCGAAAGACCGACGCCCTTTCCTCGGCCAAGGCAAGGCTGAATCCGCTCCGCGCGCCCCGGCAAAGCCCATTGCTAAAGCGACGCCTACCGACAGGGTGAGCGGGGGGCTAATCCCCGGGAGCGGAAGGAGACGCCTCGCCCGCTCGCCTCGGAAGCGACCGCGACGCAACTCACCTGTCCCCCGACCATCAACCAGCAGCCGGGCACCACAGCCCCTCCGCCTCTGTATTTGAATGCGCCTCCGCCGGCTGCCATTGGCTGGAGTGGCCAGTGACATCACGGGCCGGAGGAAGACGCGGAAGCGGAGCCGGGCGGCCGGCGCCACCTAGCGGTAGCGCCACCTCCGGTTCCCAAATGAGCTCGTCCATAAGCGGGCTGCTCGATGCGGAGGCGCCGAACGGGACACCGTAGACGTAGGGTTCTTCAGCGAATTCTCCCATTCCGCTTATGGTAATGGCCAGATGAGGGAGGGCTGTCCGCGGCCTTGCAGAGTGCTTCCTCTCCAGTCCCTTTGGGAGCGGCCCTAAACTCCTATTGGGATTGGAGGGAGTGGCCCTAATGGGATAGCCCAGAGACATGGGCCAAAGAGGGGCTCAGAAGTGGGGCCGGGAGGCGCTTTCCTTCTTGAAATAAAACCTAGATCCTTGCATGTCCCAGCTCTTGTCAGCAAAATCCTTCATGCAATCAAAACTGTACTTTCTATTTTTAAAAAAAACCCAATCGCTTTTTATTATTAATTTTCCTCCTAAATGTTTAGATCATAAAGATACTCAAGAAAACGTTTTGCCATCAGTGCTTGCACAAACTCCCACGATCCTCGGCATTTTAAGTAGCAGAAGGCAGCTAATGGCAACTGTAACTGCACCTTAACGCTATTCGTTAAGATACACATCGTGGGAATTTCTCCTCACTCATAGACATTTATGTCACCAGTGCACTCAACAACAATTCCTTCTGGGCTCCTTCCAATAAGCAAGTGAAAGGTCCGGTGGGAGAGCATCTTGCCTGTATCCCATCCGCCCAAGAATCTAGAGTGCCCCAAGCTGGTTAGGGCTTAACCTTCTCGATGCCTTGATGCACCAGAGGGCCAAAAGATCTGACATGAAGTGCTTGTCTGCATTCCCTTTTTCAGTAGGAAGCAAACACCGGGTAACAATCCCCATGTGAGGCAGAAGCTAGTGTCTTGAAATATAAATTCTGCATCCCAGTGGTGCGATGCCATTTTGCAAGGCAGAAGAAAATAGTTGGTGCCATGGTGGTCAGCAAACTCCTGGTCCAACAGCATTAGACTGTTGTTCTTCCATACCCTGACCTGAAGACCTAATTCTACACTTGCTCTAATGCTAATTGTTGTAAACCACCCAGAAAGCTTCAGCTATTGGATAAAGGTCAGTATTTCAAACGTTAATCAAAATCAAGTTACAACTTGACATGTTTTACCTAAGCTAATAAATACAATCCATTTTTTTATTTTTGAAACATGGCTTGCATATCTTTCATTAGTTTTGTCCTTAAGCCTCTTGTTGAACAAATATAAAAATAAGAATGTGTTTTCTGGTATGAAATTTAGGAAAAGCATAGATTGGGATCAGGAATCCTACATTCAATTCCATTTGTATTAGAAAATTTGTATTACATAAGTGAAGGAAGAATGAGTGTATTTTTCCTTGTCAAAACATTAAAGACTAACATATTTTTGTATTGTGGCTTTCCCTAGCTGATAATTCCCTTAATAACTCCAGACTGGGTGAGTTTCCCCTTCTCCAGAAGGTTACTGAAAAGGAGGGTTCTTGGAAGTAGTTTTTAGTTTGAGTTCAGCAAACTGCTCTGTCCATGTTCAGACTTTGTTTTTCTCTGCTAGCACTAGCTTGCTAGATGTGCATGGGGAACAAAGAGCTTTTGCCAAAGGGATATTGTTTGAAGGGGAGGCTTAGCTCCTAACACCCCCCCACACACACACACACACACTTTACCTTTCTCAGAGGTCAAATTCCTAATTTTGGATAAGCAGCCAGTGCAGTTCTTTCCACACCAGCTGCAAGCAGGGAGGAGTCAGTGTTGGAGCTGTTTCCAGCCACAGATGTGGGAATCGTAAGTATCCTGAACCCCACCCCTAGCAATGTCTAGGGGCCACAGGATTGTTTCTGAAAGTGTTCTCCGTGCAGACTTGCCCAGCTGCCCATGCTTCCATACTTTTTGATTCTGAGCTAATCCTTTCAAAAAATATTAAATTTTACAGTCCACCTGAATTTCATCCTTTATATCCTCTGCTTTACCCTCTTCCATGCCCGTAATGCTGTCTCCTCTCCCTGACTTCCAGCCAGCTATCACAGCAAGCAGATGTGGAGCCATCTCTGCTGGTCAGCCACACAGTCAAACTCCCTTATCTAAAAGAAGTCTATCCAGGAATGAGAAGCCCATCTGCTCCTAGGCAAAAATCTCTTTCTTCTGCTCTACACCAGGCAAATCTGAGGAATTTGGTTGCCCAAGATAAAAAAACTATGCCTGCCCATATGTTTTTTTGGAATATTTCTTGAGAATGGTTATGTACTCATTCCTAATCACTGCTTCTCCACTAATTGCAAGGGAAAGCAGTCATTTTGTGATGTGCTTGTGCCACTCATGGTGTCATTTTGCCATTTACCCCAACATAGGTTTTGCATCCAAGACTATAATGTAAATTATGAAATGGCTCCCTAGTATAACTCACGAGATGACTCTGAGCAAGTTACTATGTCATCCATGCAATGATGTTCTTACGCTGAAATGCTATTCAGACTTTTTATAGAAAGGATGAGATGCATAACCAATTCAACATGTGACACCGAGCAACCAAAGATAAATAGAAGTGCTTGATTTTGGTTGGCTTATAACTGTATAATTAAAAACTGAAATTCAGCACATATTACAAATTACATAAAACGCATGTATACAAATATAATGCAGTTTATTATTTCTGAGAAGTGCTTTTGTCATGTTTTCTAATAATGTCCATAAGATTATCACCTGTTACAAGACCATTTTGAGAATGTTTACTCCTCTGCTGTTCTTTTCTCTTTTGGTCATGTAGATATGGTGAATTTAGTAATTGAGCTGGGAGAATGGTGCCAGTCGGTTTAACTCGCTTTGCAACATCCCAGAAAAGTCTCTTGCTGTTGTTATTAATAAAAGTTATTGCAGTTCCACTGTGGCCCAGCCGACCTGCTCTTCCAACCTGAAAGAGATAAGCGACTGTATTTAAAGAGGGCCAAATTATTAATCTTAGAAAGCAGAAAATAAAGGTTAAAGAACTAGAGAGTGACAAATCAGAACCAAAGTTTAGACCATGCGCAGTAGCCAACTGACATCCTGTCTGCCTGAAGCAGCAGATTCATTCATCTGGATTAAACTGAAGCTCAATCCAGACAAGACGGAGGTCCTGTTGGTTGGCGGATCAGGCTTCGGAGAGGGTGAATTGAACCTTGTCCTGAACGGGGTTGCACTCCCTCTTAGGGACAAGGTCCGCAGCTTGGGAGTGCTCCTCGACCCGGAGCTTTCACTGGAAGCTCAGGTAACAGCAGTGGCGAGGAGCGCTTTCCTCCAGCTTCGGCTGATTCATCAGCTGCGCCCCTATCTGGAGAACGACTGCCTTGCGACAGTGACACATGCGTTGGTGACTTCCCGTCTGGACTTCTGTAACGCGCTCTACGTGGGGCTACCCTTGAAGATGGTCCGGATACTTCAATTGGTCCAAAATAGAGCTGCCAGGCTGCTGACGGGGACTGGACGTTATGTTCACATGACGCCAGTTCTCCGTCAGCTTCACTGGCTCCCCATTGAAGTCCGGGCCCAATTCAAGGTGTTGGTAATGACCTATAAAGCCCTAAACGGCTTGGGTCCTGGTTACCTGAAGGAGCGCTTACATCCTTATATGCCCAGCCGCCCCCTGAGATCGGCGGGAGAGGCCCTTCTCCGGGAGCCCTCCGTGGAAGAAGTTAGGAGGGTGGTTACTCGGAGGAGGGCTTTCTCAGCGGTGGCGCCTAAGTTATGGAATGCGCTCCCCAGAGAGGTCCGCCTGGCGCCGTCGTTATTTGTTTTTCGGTGCCAGGCAAAGACCTTTTTATTTAAGCAGTATTTTAAATGTTAATATTATTGAATTTTATTTGGCCAGGGCGGCTTGTTTTATATTGTATGTTTTATATTATATATTTGTATTTTAATGTATATATTTTAAAATGTTATTTTAATTTTTTGTTGTAAGCCGCCCCGAGGCTTCGGCGAATGGGGCGGCATAAAAATGTTTTAATAAATAAATAAATAAATAAAATCTTTGAGAGAAGCCAGGTGAGCAAGAGGATTTCAGCTAAGCCTGCTAAAGGGCAGCCATTTTACCAAAAGTTGCTTCTGAGCCATGAGGGAGAGAGGAGGCAGCAATCAGGTACCCCTTCTGTGCCTGAATACAGCTCCTGCTAAAAGCTTCCCATCCATTCTTCTACATCAGAGGGAAGGGAACCCTTGTGATTCCTCCTTTATTTGAAATCCTGTGATTTTAAGCCTTGGTGCTTTCTGAAAAGCTGCTGTGGAGAGCTGAACTCAAGTTCTAGTCCCATTTGGACATGAAGCTTACTTGGTGATTTTTAGTACTTAACCTACCCTTCTTCACACAATGGTTACTAGGATTAAACAGAGAGTCACTGTCTCTCAGCATAACCTCAGAGGGGCCTAGGGAGGATAACATGGAGAGGAATAAGGTCACATGTGCCATCTTGAGTTCCTTAGAGGAAAGGCAGTGGGTTAGTGTAACAAATAAAGGAATATGTGAAGTTGCTCAAGAGATTTTAACTGGCCCTCAGATAGTCAGTCATAAAACCCCGTATCAGTGTAGTAGGACAATCTATGAGATGTTCAGGGACAGAAACTCTACTGCTGCATAATGAACTGTTCTTTGCTTTTCTCTTGGCTTTGGCGATTATGACATTTTCATATACAGTTCTCATTCTATCATTCTATTTATGAAAATAAACGGAAAATATGCTGCTCCTATAATTTGTTTTCTTTAAATGTGCCTGTGGGATTCATCCTTCTGTTTTCACTTTATTGTTCTGAATCTGCATATTTATGGTCTAGAAAGCTCCATTAGGTGCACTCAAAACTTAATAACTGAGAAGGAACTTCTGAACTATTCTGCAAGCTCATTCTCACACTTCTGAAATTTCTGCATTTGTCAAGTGTCAATTTGCAGGGCTCATAAAAGGAGGAGAGGGTTCAGGAAATGCCCACCACCCAGGCCCCTGAATGATGAAATCTAGTCTGCTGTAAAAGCTCAAGCTCAGCTACCCTCAGCCTAGTGCCAGACTATAACTCAGTGCTACAAGCTGTAGTCCAGCTCATCTGGAGAGCACTAGCAGGACCCTGATAGACTTAAAATCAGGCAGGTGTGTTTACCTGGTGTACATATTCATCCATACTCGAGGGCATGTCGAAATTCACCACAAGTTTAACATTGATAAGGTCCAGGCCACGTCCCAGGATTCCAGTGCTTACTACAACTTCGTATTTTTCTTGAAATAATCCCTAGTGCAAAGAACATACAAATATTATTTCAGCTCTCTCATACCTGTCTTGCTGTTAACAACAGCAAGTCAGAAATGTTAAAATTAATGTAACCATTCTTTAATGTCTGGGAAAGGAGAAGAAAAAGCTGGTATGCTGTGAAGATTCTTGTCAAAACTGAGGATTTGCAGCAAAATAAATCAAGTCATTGAAAAAGTTACAGTGATGCTATAAATCATGTTGGACACATTTTAAAGCAATGGGAAATACTAACAGGATGATTAGCAAAAGAAGAAGGAGCCAAGGTATTTTCCTACAACTGAAAACTAATGTTAATGTGTACCACCCAATAGCTATAACTACCTGAGCAGTGTGTGGCAGTTGAGTAAATACATTTCACTAAGATTTAAAACCAGATTTGTACAACTTAAACAACTAAGACAAGGCTTGCTAAAACCTGCTGAGTATACCCCTGTGTGTTATTTGGAATTGTGTAGGCTGTGGATGTCTTCCATTTTGCAAGCAAAGCCTCCATCTTGTCTGGCTCAGCAGAGATGGGCAAAGGACAGCTCAGAACACCAACACCACTTGAACAGCAGGTGCTTGCTATCAGAAAGCCTAACAAGGCCTGCATTCCAGGCCCTGACTAGCTAGCTTGCCGGTGCAAATTTGCCAGCCCTCCCTGTGTCCCTATTTATCAGCAAGTTGCTCAGCCACAGTTGGACTAGCTAGCGGGGAGATCTCAGGGCTTCGTGGCATCAGCAGCAAAGAGTGTCTAACTAGGTGCTTAGCCCTTCCTGCCATTTGATGGAAAACAGATCTCTCAGGTACCCTTCATTGGCCACCTGTTCCAGCTGATAGAAGCCTGCCTTGCAGTCCAGTTCATGCTGTGCATTGTAAGTAACTGCTGCTAAACACTTGAGAAGGAAGCTGTCTTGCCTTCTGTGTGCAATAAAAAGCTTTCCTCCTTGTGAGTAAACCCAGACCTGGCATACTGCTCTCCTTAGGATTTCCAAAACACCTTGAACCCATGGCCAAGGCACTACAAGTTGGTAACTGTCTCAGCAAAAAGGGCAGTCTTAATCTGGTGGTAAAAAGTTAATATATTTTTAACACCAGGAGGCTCTCAGTGGGAGCATCATTCCATAAGTTGGGGGCTTATGGAATGATACTCCCACAGAGATGTTCACACTGAATTCCCCCCAAATCTACTTGTCTCTAGCTGCTACTATATTTAAATATATTTATAAGAATAAATGAATATATATCCAAATAGGCAAAGAAACTTCAGTAATCAACTGCATCAAAAAGCAGCCTTCCTAAAGGGCCAATCCACAGTATCACTACAGCTCAAAGCCCATAGAACAGGTCATCATTCTTCAACCTGGTGTTCCCCAGGTGTGTGGGACTCCTAGAACTTTGGGCATTGTAGTCCTACACAGCCAGATGTGCCAAGCTTCAGAAGGATAGAATAGGCCCTGTAGTTTGTATGCAAGGCAGATCAAAGTATTTCTCCCAGCTGCAGCCAAGTTGCCAGAACTAGCATAGCAGCACAAATACAGCTCCGGCTCATAAGCACAGTGGAAGGGAGCATCTATACAGCACCCTGGAATGCTGCAAAGCACAGGACCGCTCTGGATTGGCCCTTCAGCAGTAATTGCAAAAGACTGTATTGTCTTCCACAAATATGTGGAACAAGAAAGAAAGAAAATTAGCTTTTTCGGACACAGTTGTGTCACAGATGTCTACAAACCTGCAATATGGCCATTCTTTCCGTCTGGGATTTATCAGCATGCATAGACACTGTTTGCAAAGCTGTGATTTTATGAACAGCATCACTCAAAAGGTCTGCACCCAGTTTACATTCTACAAATACCAGTACTGGAGGCTTGAAGAGTTTTTTATCCTAAAAAAACACAAAAAGACAGAAAGCTATAACTTAATGTCTTGTGCATCACAACTGTCACGGTAACAGCTCCATTTCCCTTAAAATGGTTCCTATGCATCAAAAAGAAATAATATTCATGATAAAATGGCCAACAGGTAAATAACATGTCTCAGTTTTCAATTGGAGATGGAAATCACACCTTATCAAACTCAAGCAGTTGTTTTACAGAAGTAAAAGTAAATAAATAAGTTTTTACTTAAAATATACATTTATAATTATAGATTTATTTAGGTGACAGCCATCAAAAGTATTTTAACTACTACTGAGAGTAATTAGAATTGTCTTGAAAGACCTGCCATTTGACATAAGTACTGTTGAACTTTGTAAAACAAAACATTATTTAAAGCAAGGAGGCACCTGCTGTTCCCCGTGATTACTGCAGGCAGAATTCTATATGGCAAGTACGAGAAGATCAAACATATTGTAAAACTCTCTCAGCTATGCGAACGGGATGTTTAATTTTGGGATTTGGCAGTACTGATCAAAGTATCAGTGGTCCATCCTAACTTATGTTCCCAAAATGAGAATATTTTTCTCTCAGGCAGTTAAATAACCTTCCCTTAGCCTAGCAGGAATAGCATCTCAAAGACTAACCTACAGGAGACAGAGTTCATTTCTGCAATCCTTTCTGCCTTGAATGTGTTACCCATTTTGCCCTTGAATGCAGTATTTCTCATGATCATAGAGTATCTTGACCTTGTTGGAATCAATAAAGAGAGGGTTTTTCCTTACAAAATGTGTTTTTATTGACCAGTGTTAATCAATATGTAACGTTTAGAAAGGGCAAATTATTTGTGTTAGCCCTCAAGCTGCACGCAAATTCTGAAGGGGCAGATGTGAAACAACATCAGGATTCTTTTCCTCCATGGAGTGCTACTGTATATTCCATATTAGTATTAATGATTGGCACATAACCATTGACTGCCACACACTAATTACATTGACTATGGCTTTTGGAATGCCAAACAAAATACAATAATCCATCACTTGGATTATTAAAAACCCTCACACAAGTGGCTTGTGCTTACCCAGTGAAAACAAGTTTACTCCTTAAAAGGAGCGGGGCACTATACTACAGCACAGATTGTTTAATACTGTTTCAAAAGTAGTTTGTCATGTCAAATAACAAGCTACTATTCAAGAATTAACGTACCTTTAAGTATGTTACTCCTGATCAGTTTTTCAAATCCTATTTATTTTTCTAATCACATTAACACATGCAGAACAGAGTTAAGACTAGTTTAACACACCTTTCCAGACCACAGGCTCAGACATACTCTATATACTGGACATGCAAAACAACATTATCAATAAGGCTGAAAAAATCAACATTATGTTTCTTCCTGCACACCATTCAACAGAGGTGATGGCCAAAGTGGATTACCGGCATGCCAATGTAATGGCAGAGTTCCCAAGAAGAGAACTGCATCAGATCACTAGCCATTTGCTACTTCCAAGTTTCAAATATCCATAATTTGTAGGGGGGAAAGGGAGAGGGGTTCTCTTTCTACAAATACTAACATTTAATATTTCAAAAAGCTTTTTCTTTTTGGAAGGTTCCTCCACCCACAAAATGATCTGGCGAACACCGGGGCATGGCAGGTCCTTCTCTCCAACAGTTATTTTCACAGGATTTTGCAGAAGCTGATTTCCCAGCTGCTCAATCCCAACTGGCATTGTAGCTGACACCAAAATGGTCTGATGATCTTTGGGGATATTCTCCAAAATATCCAACACCTGCTGCTGGAAACCCATCTTTAGCATGGTATCAGCCTATTAAGATAGAGAAAGGGGAAAGAAACAGAAATAGATTTGTTAGCATTAATATTCTAGTTTTAGAAATACAGCTGAGAAAAATATAATTGCACATTCATTACCAACGTGATGTTTAGGGAGAAAAGGATGGCACAAAATCAAATTTGCACTTTTGAGAAACTATTACACCACAGCTAGAAAGTCTGCAATTTAATAAGTAAAGGATTAAAACTATCTTCTCTAACCTACTTCCTTCCAGTTGCTGTTTTGGGCTTCAATTCCCATCAGCCCTAACCGGTATGCCAAAGCTGGTAAGGCTGAGAGCTACTGAATCTGGAGGGCACAGGGTTGGGGAAGTCTGGATTAAACAGAGGTTCCTTGTAAAAACGAGAGAAGCTGCCACCATGCCTACCCACGGCGTTTTCAAATTCTGCCTGATGTTTTCTCTCTCCCCTGCCAACAACTCAGGCCCAGAGCAACAGCCCAAAGTGCCAACTGTGTGTCAGGCAGCAGTCACTCCCACTTTGCAAGCAGCTTGGGCACTGGAATGAATGAGGGACCTTTTATTCCTTGGCTGCCGGTGTGCCAGTGAGAAGAGGCCTCCTCCCTTCCTCCAGAGCTCAATTATAAGTAGCATACAAATGTTGCCCTGTTAGAAGGATGACTCATAAGAGGGCCCAAGGACACCAGCCGAATAGCTTTCCAACGACACCATGCACTAGCCAAGGGAAGTGGACATGTGCCAGAAATCCATTACAGGAAAGATGTTTGATCAAATCTGTACATATTTTGCTGGTGAGGGCTTAAGTGGATGGGCGATCTTTTGGGTCTGAAGGCCACACTGGCTCCTGCAGATTCCAGCAGGGGCAATCTGAGTGTGGGGGGGAGTAGCAGCGGGTGGGTTCAGGATCCTCTGCCTCCCCATCCATATGATCCCAACAATTAATGGAGAGAGGAGAGAAGAAAGAGGCCTACACCTCACCCCCCACCCCATGACCCTGATAAAGATGGTCATTTCAAGACTGCTACAGCAGCAAAGAAACTGCAGTCTCCGTTCAGCAGGGAGGGCCACATTAAAACCTCTCCCCACCCCAAATGATCCCAGTTAGGATTGTGCTATCCTGCTGCCATTGCAAGAGTTGTTGTTGTCAGTCGCAAAGACGTGTCTGACCCATCGCGACCCCATGGACAACACTCCTCCAGGCCTTCCTGCCCTCCACCATCCCCCGGAGTCCACTTAAGCTCACACCAACTGCTTCAGTGACTCCATCCAGCCACCTCATTCTCTGCCGTCCCCTTCTTCTTTTGCCATCTATTGTTCCCAGCATCAGGCTCTTCTCCAGGGAGTCCTTCCCTCTCATTAGGTGGCCAAAGTATTTGAGTTTCATCTTCAGGATCTGGTCTTCTAAAGAGCAGTCAGGGTTGATCTCCTCTAGGACTGAACGGTTTGATCGCCTTGCAGTCCAAGGGACTTGCAGGAGTCTCCTCCAGCACCACAATTCAAAGGCCTCAATCCTTCGGCGCTCAGCCTTCCTTATGGTGCAGCTTTCACAGCCATACATTGCACAGGGAAAACCACAGCCTTGACTATACACACTTTTGTTGGCAGGCTGATGTCTCTGCTTTTTAGTATGCTGTCTAGATTTGCCATAGCTTTCCTCCCCAGGAGCAAGCGTCTTTTAATTCCTTGGCTGCAGTCCCAGTTATCTGCCCCCACCCCATCCCACGCCAGGAGCTTAAGGCTGATCAGTTGGGTGACCATCAAGAGAAATGGCCTGAGGGGCTGAACTAAAATGATCAGGGACAGAAAGCCCCCTGCAGCTTCCTCACAGGTGGTCCACAGTATGCAGTCACCAAGGAAGAGATGGGACACACGCAACAGCTGGCACAGATTCCTTTGAAAAAGGACACATTCACATGCTCGCTTTGACCCACAGTATATACTTACTTCATCCACTACAACAATGCTGATATTACAGAGCAGAACAGAACTTTGTTTTAGGATTTCTAGGAGCCTTCCTGGTGTTGCTATAATAACCTAACAGAAAGGGTTGGGGATGAAGGCAGGAGAGAGAAACACCAACATTAGAAAAATAAATACATTCGTTTCACAACAGCCTTCAACAGACCCACTTGCCAAATGAATGTTTGAGCTGTACTGGCCTCTACAATCCATTAAGAAGATTTATTTAAAATGCCATAGGGTTATAGGAAGCTGCTCATACCATGGATGGGTTGCAGCATTCCAGGGATCCAGACAGGTTTTTTCCAGTCCTCCCTGGGACCTTCTGAGTGCAAAGTATGTGTTTTAATGTAAGAGCCCTGTATCCTTCCAACAGGCCAGCGCAAGAAGGCTCATGATCTTGGCAAGGAAGAATTCGCAGGGAGAGAGACCATGTGGCAAGAGCTACAGGAAGCTGCCGGAAAAGGGGGCAGTACATTTTTGGATGAGTATCTAATTCTTGCACCCATCTCCCAGCACTTCCTTCTAGGAACAGCCACAATAGCAACTGAAGATGTTTTGTCTTGTGCCTTTTGGACACTACAACTTCTCTTTAATACAGAACAAGCTAATTCAGGTAATTGCTAATGCCTCTTTTAAATACATGCTTTGGCAATGACCAGTAATGCTCTTTTGGGGAGGAGGTTATTGTACAGATAAATGTTACACTGGAACAATATTCCCTGATGTACTTACTCTACTAAATTATTTAACTGCTTCATGGAGATTAACACACCGAAGAAATGGATTCTCTGCTTCCCTTTGGCAGTAAAAAAATGATTACAAAATCGGCAAGATAATCAGCTATAACAGAATGAACAGGTGACATACAGCTGCCAACTTCAAATGGATGTGTTGATATTTGGTCAGCTTTTGTTGAAGCCTATACATATCAGCTGGAAAGCTGCATGGATTGAATACAAACCTAAGCACATTCATTTAAAAATTGGGGGGATCTGTTGGGGAACCCTTTGCGGACATCACTGGAGGGGCCCATGTGGGGATCTCTTATTGTATGCCACTTCATTCCAGCTGAAGTTTGGGGCATGTGTGTTTTAAGAACAAGGAGGATTGATTTGTAAATTAACTAAAAGAAAAGAACCTAACGCCCTTGTTTTGTTTTGCAAAGGTTGATTCAGATAGAATATAGCCACACTGAAACCTAGGGGTTGTACTCAACTTAGTCCATCCTCCAGCAAAATGGACACTACTAGCAAAAAGGATCCCTCCTCTGCCCTGCAGTGCCCCGTGCATGTTCTTGAGGGCTGAATACCCTCCAGAGGAGATTAGATGGGGCCACAGGGGATACAAGTGGAAGGAAAGGACGACAAAGTCCTGTTGTACAAGCAAAGATTTGCCAGCACAATTGAATCCTGGGTCAAGAGAAGGGGAAATTTCTCCAGGGAAGAAAGAAAACTGTTATGTGGAAGAGAACGAAAAGGTGTCTTTCCTGGCCTTTCAAACCCTGACTTTGAAGTAGTGGTTGTTGTGGTGGAGCATGGCAGACAAATAAGTGGCAACGTTAATCAAAAAGAAAGAAATCAGAGTATATGCCACTCATATATAGAGTTCCTTCATATTATCTAATTATTTTCCTTAAATAAAACATTGTGGAATAATGTTAATAAAACATTGTGGAAGCAAGTTTTACCTTAACATTTTGTTTCAGGCGATGAAGCTGAGGTGGCAATGGTAATCCTCCAACCAGAAGAACCGTTCTCATATTTGGAAGGCCAGTCATGAGCTCTTTAGCTTGTTTCTCTATTTGTATGGCCAACTCTCTTGTTGGTGCCAGAATAAGTGCAGATGGAGTTTCCATCTAAAAAGGAAATAAGAACAAGCTGTGAATCTGCAGTCTCAAAAATCCACCATTTTTGAGCACAGTTATTTCATCAGCCCAGTTCAACAACATCCTTTTCATCTGGGTGACAAAAGGGATGAACGTGCGACATGAGAGACCAGGGCAGTGAGTGAGCGAGCTCTTAAAGAAAAACACAAAGGACTGACTGGTCCACGCTTCCATCTGTGATGTCTTCTACTCGCATTTTGACGGCTGTAGCATGAATTACTGGCATGCATGCGTGAATGAGCTTTCGCCGATCAAACCCTACGGACATATCATTGCTATCATCTTAGCAATGCATGTCCACACATTTAGCTGCTGGCCATCAAGTTCATGTACAGTAGTCCAGTACAGCTCAGAAAGATGTGCAAATGAAGTTGTGTGATGTGCAAAACCAATCCATTTCTCAATGGGTATTTATCATTATTCACATTCTGTGAACTGCATAGTAAAATTCAACTTCAGTTACATAGAAGGTTAGTCCAAGAGTTTTGTTTCCTATGCTCTGAAAAGGCAGCTTGACTCTCAAAACCTTTTCTGCAATATGTATCCAGTAAGACTATTATAAGCATATGTTAAATTCCACAACAGAGTAAATAGACTTGAGTGTGAAGAGGGTCCAACCTCGTATTTTGTGTGACACATACCTAAAGATGGAATCGACCATGCCATCCACAATAATCTGAAGATTTACTTTCGTTTTGGGGGTCTGCAGTACTTCTGCCTAATGACTGAAAACAGTCTCTTTCCCCTTTCAATAAAGGAGCTCAAAGATGTGAGACTGGACAACAAGTAAGAGAAGGATCCCAGAGCTCTGTGCAGCTTCTGGGAGGCCACAGGATAAACTAGATTCCCATTTCAAGGCCAGGGACAATCTGGCCATGCTTTGGCCTTGGAATCTGCATGCCATTCCTTCTCACAACCATGCCAGCTGCCTCTCCCAGGTTGAGAAATCTGTTCAAATAATTTACTGATTAGCAAGCCAGGTTGCCCTTGGCCTTGCTATCTCTCTTGTCAGGCACAAATGCTGGACACAAAGAAATAGACCGGGAGCAATTTGAAATTAGGAAGGAAGGCCTGTCATCCTTGTGCTCTAATAATGCCAGCAAAATCTCATAATGCCAGCAAAATCTCTGCTTCTCCAAAAGGTTGAGAGTGCAACTTATTCTTTTTTTCTTCTCCAAAACATGCCCAGATTTGGGAGCCAGATATATCAACTATTCTCCTAGCCCAACCTATGCATCTTTTGTTAAATGGAACATTCAGTAGATTCAGCAATTGTAGTAGATATCCAGTCATGGTACTTGCACAGTACTGTTTTCCTACTATTTTGATCACTTTTTCAGGTCAAATAACACACACAAACAAACAAACTTGATGATTTTTTTATAGGAACACCAAGATTGTCTTCTACTGAGTCAAAGCATCAGTTCAACTAATCCAGAACTGTTAACACCAACCAGCAAAATTCTCTAGAATTTTTGATCACACCTCAATCTTTTCAGTGTAGTAAAGTTCTCCCTTTGAATGCGTTGGGGCTTTCTTCTCAGTAAACATGCATAGCAGTGTGTTGTACCGTTACCATTACTTCCTGAACATGTTGGTTTGAACTTACCTCTCCCAAAGCTTTAATTATAACAGGAAGCAGGAAAGCTGCTGTTTTTCCTGAGCCTGTGTCAGCAGTTGCAAGAATATCCCTGCCTTGGAATCCAACCGGAATCATCTGCATCTGGACAGGAGTTGGCACTTCATAGCCTGCCTTCTTTAAATTGCTGTTCAGAACGTCAGGAAACCCACAGTGCTCAAACTCTATAATCGGTCTCGCAATGATTCCTTCACTTTGGACAGCTATGCCCAATTGCTGCTTTAAGTTTTCAATCTGCTCATCTTGAAGGCTTAACATAAAGGAATTCTCTTTATAGGTGTAAGTGCCATCCTGGAAAGCAGGCGGAGGTTCTGCCTCTTCAAGTCTCGCATTCTCCTCTTTGATCCGTAAAAGGTGTTTGGCTTTACACTCCAAGCTACAGACATCTTCGTCAGTCTTGTCACAGATGTACTCCCCATAACGACCACAGACCACACACACGGGTTCCCCAGGCTGTGGCCAGCACTGTGTTTTACTGAAAGATTTGATGGGCTCCTCAGCAAGAGAGCAGTCCTCATTGTTCGCATTTTCCAAGGAGGCTACAGTAGGGGTCACAACAGAATCAAGACAAGGTTGTGGCTCAGAGCGGATTTCCTCTGGTTTGCATAAATCAGTCTCTGAGCTTGGTGTGCCTTTTATATCTGGCCTGGCACCGCTGGACTCTACAGCCTTTTCAAATGAGGATTCACCCAGAGAGGACTTAATTTTCTTAGCTAAGCAAATCCCATCATCAACAGCGTTCCTCTTCACTTTAACAGTCCTTGGAACAAACATCCTTCAACAGCCTGTCATACATACAGAAAATAATTAGTCCTATTAATCTGTGAGAAACTAATACCTCAGTATCATGCAACCAAGCAAGGTGCAAGCGATAGATCGTTACTGATTTTCTCAGGAATAAGTCCACTGACTTTTATTAGATATTCTAGAACCCATGTGCTGTGGGCAGAGGCCAAATGATTGGTCTCCTGACCTCTCCAGTCTCCTCCGCTCCTGCCCACCGAAGTGCCTCCTTTCTGCCTCTGATTCTCCCTTCTGAGGTGCACCATCTCCAACCTCAGAAGGGGTTTCCTGAGCTATGATTTGATCCCTGGCACACTTGCCCAGAGATTGCAGGATTGCTCTCTTAAGCATTTGAGAAATGGTGCAGGAATGGATTATTTAATAACAACCTTGCAAGAAAATCCAGCTCACCTAAGCTCTTTTCTCTGCTCCAACAGTGGTTCTTCCTAGAACCTTCTGCACAAAAACGGTTCTCACTGCAAGAAATAAACACAGTCATATTAAAAAATGTATGACACATTCTCTGTTTTGTTGCTCTGTTAACAGCAATGAAGGGCCCCTGTGGTGAATGGCCTCTCCACTGAAAACAACAGAGTATATGAATGCTTGTTCAGTAAAATTTACTATAATGTCTCTTAAGCTTCAGGCAGCAGAAGCTACAAAACTTCACCTCCTGAAAGGGGCAGTTCTCCTAAAGTAAATCACAACACTTGTTCTCTGGCCAAACACCATAATTTGCCGCTATCTTTTAATCTGGCTTTTTAAATTGTAGTTATGGCAGAGAATGCATTGCCCCTCAAACTACAAAGTACTCTTTGCCTAGAATTGAATGCTTTCTTTTGGATATCTTAGTGGGCAGGCAATAGCATAGGAAGTAGTCTGAACCTTTGGAATAGGGGAAGTTCTACAATTTCTGAATGAATCAATAAACCAACCTCTGTGTCACTTCCGTTGTTATCTTCTGATCCACTTGCTGCCTTTTTTGGTGCTATAGAATATAAAATCTTAGCTGTTCAAACAAGACTGAAAGTTTCAAGCCTTTCTTCATAAGATGATCCAGTCCCTTGATCCAGCACAGAGTGAATGGGTAATATATGCATATATGCTTAAAATAGAAAGAGCATAGTTAAAAGAATTCTGTTTCTAGAAGACTGTGCCACATTTCTAGGAAGGGAAATAATGGGGGAAGTTGTCCAGTCCTATCATTTCCCTGCTTTACCAATGCTGCTTGTATTACCATTTTAAAAAGTACTAAATAAACTTATCAGTTATGTGCCAATGAATTATAGATGAGTCAAGTTGGTACACAACATGTCTTTATCTTGAGGGGAACCCAGTGTATCTATTTTTTACTGTTTTCATTTAAAGAGGTGGGGGCAGATCTCATTTTAGCATCACCAAAAAGATGAAGATCACTAAGGGGTCAGAAAGACATCCTTCAACTCCCATGGCTGGCTAGCCCATGCTGAAAGTTCTAGAACATGTACCTGTTCGTAAATGCATAAGACTACACCCTAAAATATCTATTAACACAGATCAGTTGTGATATATTGCATAGTACACCCAATTTCATGGGAATAATCCCTGCTGAATTCAACAGGGGTTACATTTGAGGATTGGCACCAAGCAAAAAAAATCTGGTGGTACCTTAAAAATAGGTATAGAATTATGGCATACATTTTGATAAACCATTTTATCAGAGGCAGGAAGCATTGTTTAGAGTGCACATCTAGTGCTGTGTGCCCAGTGATATTTTGGACTTCAATTCCCATCAGCCCCAGCCATCTTAGCCAATAGTCAGCAATCCTAAGGGTTTTAGTCCAAAATACCAGGTTGAAAAAGGCTGATCTCTACACACACAAACAGGGAGGAGGTGGAGAAAATTATTATTAATATTGCTACATTCCCTCTCTAGCACGTCTTTCTTCAACTTGCAAGGGATCCAAGGCGGCCTACGAGGTTCTTCGGCTCTCCACTTTATCCTCACAACAACAGCGCTGTGAGGTAGGCCAGGCTAAAAGTGACCGGCCCAAAGTCCCTCGTGAACTTCTCGGTCATCCCTCTATTCTGACGGAAGCGACATCCTGAGACTGGGCTGAGCTCCGACCGAGCGTCCTACCGTGATCCCTTCCCTCCAAACAGCCGGGGCCGCCCGCTACAGTCGGCGCAGAGCATACAGCACTCCTCCGAGTCCGCCCGGGTTTCCGGAATCTTGCAGCCGCTCTAGGCCCTCAGCGCCTCTCTGGTCTTGGCTTGGATTCTTTGTCCAGTCGTTCTCCTAGAGGCGGAAGAGACTCTTTGAACGTATCATACACGCCTCACTTCAGGTTCGTGTTCGACTCTGCGTGGCAAGGCAGCGCCTTGGAAGGACACGCACACGGCAGCGAATGGAATGCGGATAAAGTAGGCGGGCGTTCTCTGCAATCCTTTGCAGTGATCAGACCCGCGGTAAGTAAATATAAATTCAGAGGAGCTGTCTATTGGAGCGAACAACAAATCGAGGAGGCTTGTGGTACTTTAAAGGCTGAAATTTCATGCATGGGCAAAAAAAAGCGCTACAGTTCTCAGCCAGTGTTGCCTGCTTGGGAATGCTGGGAATTGTAGGACATAGATAGGATTATCCTCTAACCAATGCATTCTGATATATTTTAGTGGATTTACAGATGCATCTGAGTAAGTGCACTATACTTTACCAAAATGTATGCCAGGATACATTTCTTAGGGTGCAATCCTATTCAAAGTTAGACCCAAAAGCAGGTCTGCAACTCCCAAGTGGCTGGGCCTAACTCGAGCTGTCAGCCTATTTGTAATGTACTTGAATAGGATTATGCCTTTAGGAACCAACCATTAAGTTCAACAAGAAGAGCGAGATTTCAGTGGGATAGTTAGACGGAACAGCCAAACAAATAATGTTTTTTTGGTCAGAAAAGGAAAAGGGGCCTGTGGAATGGCTGGATCTTTTGAGACTTGCAGCCCAATGCATTTTACTCTGAAGTAAACCCCACAGTGTTCATTGTGTGCACCTCCCAAGGTTAATGCCTGCAGAATATGTTTAATATAATCCCAATTTAATTCCGTGATTCTGTTTAACCACACATGAAAGAATCCACAATTGCAATCTAGAACCAGAAATCTTTCTGGGCAGGGCAGGGGGAATTACAATGCCACCCCTATGAGAGCAACAGGAGAGAACTTGGCCGCAGATTCGCTCATCTTCTTTTGCTTTCTGCGCTTGGTACAGCCTCCTCCACTTACTGGTCATATTTTTCTAAACTGGTATGTGGAAAATGCAAATACCTTCTGCAGTTTAATGAGTTGGAGAAGCAACAAAACATTCCTGTCCAGGATCCCACTGTCTGTGCCCATTTCCAGGACACTCCATTACCTCTCCCCCTCCCTTCACACACACTTCAGATTTCCCCCTGCCAACAGACATTTAGCATTCTGAAGTCCCTGAAAATCCATAAAATGGGCAGTCAGAGAATGAATTCCCTAACTGATGCCTTTAATAATTTATTTAGCACATTTATAGCCCACGTAGTTTTTTCCACCAAGAGACCCAAGGCAGCTTGCATAATTCTATACATTTTCACACCAACCCTCTGAGGTAGGTTAGGCTGAGAGAATGTGACTGGCCCCCAGTCACCCAGTTTGCTTCCTACAGGAGTTGGGATGCATCTCCAAGTCCCAGTCTCAAACCCTTACACCACTCAGGGTCTCCACTATAATGGTGGTGTTTTCTGCTACCTTTTAATTTCCAGCTCCTCTTCCCTGATTCTTCTGTTGGAGGATCATTTACTCATCACTGCCTGTTCCTCTCAGAGCCGTACATCAGCTTTCTACTTCTGTCCTCCTCCTTCAGTTATTGAACCGATATTGGCCCAGTGCAGATCATCTGTTTGCCAACTACAAACATTTTCTACCAGATATTTTCCTGGTCATCTGAATTAATGTAAATAAGATGTACAATTTCACATACACACTAATTACACCAAATTCTCCTATGTACAGCAAAATTTCTGCACAGATCAAAAGCCTGCATCACTGTTGCACCTACAGAAGCTCAGTTACCTTATCCAGCTCGTGTATCTGTGAAACAGGTTGATTGTTGCCTGGGAAACACACAATTGCAATGAGGCAATTAAAGGTGTTACTGCATTCTATATATTCTTTACCCATATTGTCTTTCTGTGGTTGTTAAGTTAAGCAACACAAACTGCCTTTGCTTGTATCCTCACTCATTATCTCTAAGGGGCATAGAGTTAACCACTTCCCCACCCTGCCCAATCTTGGTTTAGCTGCTATGGCTTTAATAGTGGAAAGATAGGACAGCTGCCAAGAAAATGTTATAGCCACTCAGTTTAAGAGGGGAGACACAACCAGCGCTTTGAACACAGGTATATATCAGTATCTTAAAGGTATCTCTCATACTTTGCAAATGTCAAATAGCAGCAGCTGTGCATTTGAATGTCATAGTCAATTGCTCTTTCTCTAACTGTGCCTCCCATTTTCACAATTCAGTCTTTGCAGTGTGGGTGTCCTACTGTACTTCAGTGAACCTGCCTTTGGTAAAGAGCAATCAAACACAGGGGCCTGGTTATCAGCAGAAAAGATAGTCCAATTATTACATATCTAGCCCAGATCATTACATCTTTAAGTCTAAAGCTCTAGAAATTGAGTACAATCCTAAATAAGTTTCTTTGAACCTAAGTCCCACTGAGTTGAATGGGATCTCTTTCTCTAATTAATTGCATACACTTCCCTTTCTAAATGCACTGAATTAATATTTTAGGAGGAGGAAGCAGGTATACACTGAAAAAGTAATAAAATAATTACTAACCACATGGAGATCAATGCAATTAATGCAGAATAGTATATTCTCCAAGTGTACCTTTTTTTTTTTTTTTTTGGCACAGTGCAGTTTTCTCACTGTAGGAATTAGTTGCCAATGTACACTTCAATTTAACTTAAGGCTAGATGCAGTCTGCCAACTACCCCATCTGTCTGGCAAAATCTGACTTAGAAATGGGATCTCAGAACATTTAGGCCTGGTCCCAGATTTTAGCATTTGGGAAATTAGTATTTTCAAAAGCCAGCTGTTTGATATAAAAAATGAACATATTGAATCAATGTGTGTGTCCTGCATAGCAAAGAGCCCCTCCCCTAATGCACACATGTTCATGGAATCGCTTTCTGTGCTCACATGTGCTTCTTTGGATTCTGGCCAAAAAGGCTGGAGTTAATTATTCCTTGGCACTCTTGCTTTGCACCTTCCTATAAAAGTGGCTGATTTTATAAGTTTGCTGCAATCGCCTTGCTGGCTTAAGTAAATCAACCAAGTTATTTTGGAAGGATTTAGCATGGCAAATATTACATATGGCGTGCCCATAAGTCTTCTCTCTTGCTGGATGTGGTGCTGATAATAATCTTCAACATACTTTAATTATTTACTAATTAAAATAAACAGTGCAGTTTGAAGATGAAGGTAGACTGAAATCTGTCATCATTTGCTGCCTTTGTGGAATGAATTATAATCTTTACCAAAAAAAATCAAACCTGCATCTATATGATAATTTCAAACTATTTTTATGCTGATATAACTATGACTCCACATAACAGAAACATCTAAATTATGTCAGCCCAGCTGTGTTGGAGAGATGCTGCTAAAACAGAAGGTGCTGCTTAAGAAAGCATTTGGCCCTTGTTGTTTTTCTCTTCTTTGCTGAAAAAGCCCCCTTCAATTTAGAAGGCTTTCCCCCTAATCCTGGATGTATGGTTAAATTAGTGGCAAGGGAAATGCACTCTGCAGTTGCTCAGAAGCACTTTATACCTGCTCTTACTTTACATGCACTAGAGTTCTTACTCTGCACATAAGGCCTAACATGTTTTCTCCTTCATTTTAACTAGATGGATTTGTTATACTTAGGACAAAGATGGAGAAGACTTACTTCTGCAGTAGAAACATAATATGATCAATATAATCATGACTATATCTTGGTCATGGGACTATATTTCAGTCTCAACATTTTTAAAAGACCATGTAAGATTGTTTTTAGTGATTTCCCCTAGGAAACATTTAACTTTTGTCTAAGAGCATATCTCACAGCCCCAGCATCTAAGAGTCAACATAGACATGACAAAGGAGAAGCACTAAGAACGGCTTGTAGTTGGTTGAAGTCTATTTATTTATTCAAAGCCATGCAGTCAGAGAGAGCTTGAAATCCAACCTGTGCAGCAGCAGAAAGGAGGGGTGCTTAACTCTATCTCTAAGGCCTGTTTATCTCCTAAAATGGATAGCACATATTCTTTAGATCTGACCTAGTCTGGTTTCTGGTCTGGACCTGAAACTTCTTTGGTCATGTTGGTAAATGACACACTTCAAGGAATAAACATTGTGAGGGCAGCAAAATCGTATCACAAGTTGCTGAAATATCCAAGGGAACCTATCAACCATCTTTGATAGGGAACCATCAACCATCCAAGGGAACCTATCTTTGGGGGCTACTGAGTTGAGTTAGAACTCAGAGGAACAGAGGGGGTGGGCCTTCCAAAGGATAGATCCCTAACGCACGTGCTAAGGGGCGCTGGTGCTCTAAGCCATGGGCGTTGGTGCTTCATTTTGTCTCCTCTTGCACCTTTTCCAAGCCATTCCAAGAACCACCAAGTCATTCCCAAGGTTTGGGCTCCTGAGATGGATGGCATAGAGCTTTTCCATCTACCAGGGAAGTTGTGAATGATCAGGTCTGTGCTGGGTGTTTTGGAAAGGATGAGGTCAAACAAGCTAGTTCAGTCCTAGTAAGATGTAGGCATTGTGGATGCTTCCCCAGAAGATCGAATGCACAGCCTTGGGGTTCTCCTGGACCCAGCATTGTTGATGGAAGCATGAGTGGCATTAGTAGATAGAAGTGTATTTATTAGCTCGGTCTAATTCACTGGTTGCAAGTCTCTCTGGAGAAAACAGCTGTTGCCACAACATACATGCTCTGGTTACTTCCAGGCTAGATTATTGTAATGAGCTCTGCATGGGATTGCCTTTGGAGGTGGTTCAGAAACTTTGACTGGTACAGAATGCAGGTCTCAGTTACCTGTGGGCACCAAGTGATGCAAACCTGTAATACCTATTTTGTTTCAGCTGCACTGGCTGCTGGTTTTCTTCCGCGTCCAATTCAAAGTGCTGTTAATTACTTTTAAAGTTGTCAAAGGTTTGGCAT